TTAAAGTTGTACTCAGAGAAATACAGATTAACATGGTAATTCCTCGACTTGTGAGGGTTTTTACCTTTATATGCGTATTTTTGGGGTATTGTGATTAGTTTTTATAGGTGGGTATTTCTCAATTTCTTGTTCTCAAAAGCCAAATTTACCCATACCCTGTACTTGCAAGAGTCAACTGTATAATGGAGCTGGTGAAAGATTACACAATTAGCATAAAGTTTTCAAGGCTAGTGACGGGGAGTCAATTGTGCATTATGTTGATAATGGTGATAGTGATTGGGGAAAGGAACCTGAAGGCACAACTAAGGGGCGTTTATAAAGTTATTGTGTTGTTCAAATTCATAATTTTGTTGATTATCATTGTACTATAGTTTTTATCCATTTAGAAACATTTCTGATGTAAGCACCAAAATTGATTGGCTTCAATAAATGGAAAAAAATGGTGGATTTCATAGATTTATTTTGTTTGTACTAATAGTAATGAAATTGACAAAATATACGGTTATGTTTTTAATTTCAATTAGAATTGAATTGGTAAGTAAATAAGTTGTAGTCGATTATGCTTAAGAAATTTTTTGAGACAAATATAATAGTCTCGAATGACTAAGATTAAGAACAAAACAAATTTACTCTAAAAGTCAAATTGGTGACAAATATTTATGTCGGGAAAATCTAATATATAAACAAAAGAATATGTCTCTAAAGGTGAAATTGGAGACAAATATTTATATCTTTAAATGTGCATATAGAGACTAAATAATCGTCTCTAAAAAAGTCTTTGGAGACTAAAATATTAGATGTAGTTTTCCCAATCAGTAACAAATAATATTTGTCTCTATAAGGCTATTGCAACTGCTCTAGAGGAGACAAATATGGTATATGCATCTAAAGAAGTATAGAGACAAATGAGTATTCAATAGAGACACATTTTCATCGTCTCTATAGTCCATTTTTCTTGTAGTGTGTTCTTGGCCATTAATGGGCTGGTTAGTTAGACTTCGCGCTACCTGTCTCCTTTCTCAGTCAACAAGTGAGGACTGAAAGAGTTTCTACAGATTGGAGAAAGAGATTGAGACGAAGTATACGATGAATTGAACTTATGAATTCATATATATATAAATTCGTAAGTTTGTGAATTCAAGTGATATTTAAAATTAAATAAAAAAAATGACCATAATAACTTTCTTTCACGAGAACATACTTTCTCTCGTTAACGTCATGCTACCCGTCCTTATTAGTAGGGGTGGCTATACGGTCCGGTCCGGTTAAATTGGCCCAAATTGATCCGGTCCAGTCTGGTTTTTTTGAAAATATAAGGACCGAAGATTGGATTGGATACAGTCCGGTCTTGATCCGGTCCGGTTTTGACCCGATCCGGTCCCAATTCGGTCTTGATTTTATATTGAGATTGTGGGAATTTGAGTGGCATAAGGCCTAAAAGGGTGAGGAGTTGGTTAAGTTTTGTACTAAGTGCAAAGGTTTGTGACCATTTATGCAAATTACCCTTAAGTTTTGGGTGTTGAGCTCTCTTATCCGGTCTTTATCCGGTTTTTTACCTCAAATCTAAGCCCAAAGATTGGATTGGATTGTTTACTATCCAGTCCCGGTCCGGTCTCGGTCCGGGTTATACGGTCCGGTTTCCGGTTTTTCATCCGGTCCCGGTCCAAATAGCCAGCCCTACTTATTAGAACACTATATAAGTAGGAGTGAAATCTTTGATCATAGAACGTCTTTAGAAACTCGATTCAATGGTGTAAGAGATCGCTTCCAGCATGCTGACTTGATTGATCCGGTATGCCTCGTCCTCTATCTCATTCTTAGCTTGCATTGGCTGCACATAATGATCACCAAAAACCAGAACTCAAATAGTTACTCATAACGAACATTGAAAGTTTATTCATGATCATGATTGTGGATTTTCGGAAGGTCTTATCGAGAGACTTATCGAGAGAGTGGTATCAATTATAATGTAATGGTATTGCTTTTTTTTTATTGGTATATATGTATTTTTTTCGTATTGGTATTAATTTTAGTTGTATTATTTTTTCGCATTGGTATTGATTATAATGTAATTGTATTGCTTTTTTGTATTAATATTATCATACTGTTCATGTATTGGTATTGGTTATAAATATGCAATGATATTGGTTAATAAATAATATATGCTATGGACATTGGTTAATAAATAATATATGCTATGGACCTATGGTAGTGGTAGCTAGTGATTTTGTGTAGAGTGCAGTGGTAGCATGTTTTTGTGTTTTGGTAATGATTTCTTGTTTTATTTCTATAATGGTGTTGAATATTTTTTTTTACTTGAAGTGGTAGTATTTATTTAATGGATTGATATTGACTTCTTATTTTACTTTTGTAGTGGTATTAATTCGGTTAAACGAAAATAAGGAAAAGATTGAGAAAACAAAAAAAGAGTGGTGACGAGAGATCTGCAAAGTGAGAGAAAGAGTTAGAATTTTAATTAATATTTTTTTCATAAAATATAATTTATCAAAAAATAATTAATAAATAATATTTTTAATACCCAATTTGCACTTAGTAGTAATGGTGACTCTTACTATAGAGTATTCACCATAACCACTCTCCAACTTGACAAATCTTGCGTATAATAAAAACAAATATAGCATAAAATGGAGAGCATGTAGTTTGATACCTTTTGTACATATCCGGTTGTATTATTAAGCATCCATATCAACTGTATTTGGTTAATTAATTGAATGGTAGGCCGACATAAGTTTTCTACCTCTACTGCTACTGTAAAGAAATGGTAAATTTGATTAAATATTGCCTCATATACGTAATTAATTATCTCATTAATGTATTACGTGCATGCAGGAACCAAGTGATCTGTCCGATTGGTGGGCTAGCTTTTCTTAAATACTTATATCATATGTGGCTATGTGAGTGGTGGCCGCTGGGGTCTTGCTTTCAAACCCTAGCCTTTGCTATATATAGATCGAGTCGAAACTATAACAGCCCATTCATATTACCATTATCATTATTACTGCTACTGCTACCATTACTAATCTTATTATGTCTTCTTCATCATCACTACCACTTCATCAGTCAGCTGCGGCGGCGGCAGCGGCCCATCAGAAGAAGGCAACCTCCGGCGCAGCGGCGGATTGTGTCTCGTCAGTAAGCTTTCCTGGCACAGTCTGGGGCGATGGCTTCCTCGACAAAATTGATATGTCTTTCCAGGTTAATTAAGTTATATGGGTTTTATTACTAGTTGTTTTTGGTGTATGTTATTTCCTAATAATATTGATCAAGTTGCAGGAAAGAGTCCCTACTTTTCCGGAGAAAATTAAAGTTAGAAATAGCACATTAACTTCTTGAACAACGATAAAATAAACGCAGTTCACATCTTTTTGCACAAAGTTCAAAAAAGTGTGTTCAATGTTTAGATGAACTACGAGATAGATCTACATTAAATTATACCTACTCTTATTGAGGTTCAGTCAAACCTCCAAAATTATGACAAGTGGTGTCGACTGTCGAGTTGTGATTTTTGCGAACCTCTCTGTCATCTTCACCTCCTATTTTACAGACACCAGAAGTAACTGCGTCGAGAAACTGCTTCACTGACATAGAGTGACGATTACCCTCTCGACTGCTCCGATCATGCCCTGACTACACCAACGGAGGCGTATGCCGATCACCACCCCCTGATCATACTAGAGGGTGATCACCTCATGCACTGGCGTAGCCAGAATTTCATTCAAGGGGGTGCATTAAAAATATAACATAAAATAATTTTTGACAATAATCCATTATAAAGTTTCATGTTTCATATTACCAAATTATTTTAAAACTACAAAATTATTCAAATTATTAAGTTTGCTCTTAATGTTATTTCACCATATCACCATTCACAATTTTCTTTCATTCTATTAGACTGGTCGAGTATTTCATTGCAGAAAATAGTCTACTAATATGTGTATTGACAATAGGTAGTAGCAAATTAAACCTAATTTCAGAAGCAAATACATTGATAGAAACCAATTTTCTCTTCCGACGATAGTTATCGTACAAAATTATTGATTTTCTATAATAATCCACACGTCATAACCATTTTATTAAACTGTATTAATGCAGATATTAGTAGTTTAAATTAATTTATATAATCAATCGTGGCTGGATACTAAAAATTTGCGAATTAACAATAAGATTTTGGGTTCATTGTTCATTATTAGTACTACTATTTTTTTTTTTTTTTTGTGGTTATCCAAATCAAGGGTGTGCCATTGCACCCCTAATAAGGAGCTAGCTCCACACCTGACCTTATGGGGGTGGTATGATGATGACTCCCCTCCCCCCTCAACTATACCATGGTGGTGGGGGTTTTCTTACCATATGCCTCATCTTAATTGTTTTTAATTATTAAAATTAGGTTGACCTTATAAAATCATAATCTCTCATATGTAATCGATGTAGTAAGAATGTGAGATTTAGTGATAAACAGTCACAGACGGCTAATGAGCTTGAAATATAAACAAAAGTCTACTCACTATACTAGCTTTGTAACCAGCCATTGGCCGATAGTTTAAAGTTCTTAATTATTTACTATTATAATTATCTATTTTTTATAGTTAATATCTTATGATGATAAAATTTATACACAAAAGTCTACTTACTATATGTGCGCACAGATCTCCACCCATGCATGTTGTTTTTTTACTTTGAATAACTTGTGAGATAATTTATCAAGAATAACAAACAATTTAGACCCAAAAATAATTTTAAATCCACTAATTCTCAGGCGAAAGACAGATACCCAAACCATGAAGTCCTGAAAGAAGAAGTGAGGAAGATGTTGACAAATGAAGTAAAAAGTACTGGAGATGAAGAGGCAATAATTGCCGACAAGCTGCGGCTGGTAGATGCAGTTCAACGATTAGGTATTGGGTATCATTTTGAGCCAGAGATTGAAAAAGCACTTGAAAAAGTACATGATATGGGGGAAGGCTTATTCACCAACATCGATGACAAAGGCAAGGATCTCCACCATGCAGCTCTTCGGTTTCGACTCCTCAGACAACAAGGATTTCCTGCTTCGCAGGGTACGTGTATATATATATATATATATATATATATATATATATATATATATATTGATTTATTAGTTGTACTTGATAACCAGCTAGCTAGTTCGTTAAGGTCTCTCTTATATATACATTGATCACGGATTCTCATGATTCTTTGTTTTATGTACACACACAAGCACGTACGAGTAGATGCGTTTAGAAAGTTGAAGAATAGTGAAGGGAGGTTCAAGGAATGGGTGTCAAGGGATAGGCAAGGACTGTTGAGCTTGTACGAGGCAGCACACTTGGCATTCAATGGAGAAGATATATTGGATGAAGCCCTAATCTTTGCGACCAAGAACCTTAAGTCGCCATCCATCATCCAACACAATACCAACCCTAATTCATTCCAAAAGCAAATCGACTTTGCTCTCCGCTTTCCTGCTTGGAAATGTGTTCCAAGATCACTTGCCAGGCACTCCATAGATTTTTATTCCGAGAATACTTCGCAGAATCAAAAGCTTCTCATGTTTGCAAAGATGGATTTCAACATGGTCCAGAACTTGCATCAGCAGGAGCTCTATGAAATCTCTGGGTGAGTTAGTTAGAGTGTTAGCGGACTAGCTAATATTATATTACGGAATACTACTAATCACCTTAATGGCTTGTTTGCTTTGATTTTGTCATCTATGCATACAGTTGGTGGAGAAGTTTTGATTTGGCGACCAACTTTCCATTTGCAAGAGAAAGGCTTGTAGAGAGTTATTACTGGAATGTTTGCGTTTACTTTGAGCCTAAATATCGATTGGCAAGAATTATAAACACCAAGATATATCGTACGTTGTCAATCTTAGATGACACGTGTGATAACTTTGCTACATATGAAGAGCTTCAGGCCCTATCGGAAGCTATTGAAAGGTTCTAATTACCGCATAAATCTTACATATAATGTGTGTATTCGATTGATTAATTAGACATAATGGAGCTTGCTTTTTTTCTTAATAATATATATATTGATAGTGTTTAATTTGTATGTACATACATATTTCTTTCAGGATGAATGTTAGGGCTCTTCAAGAACTACCCGATAGGATGAAGAAAACTTATCGTCTCATCCTTGATCTGTATGATGAAGTCGAGAGTGAAATTGGAAAATCGGGACCCACTTTCCCCGTCGATTATGCAAAGGGCGAGGTAATACACTAATAAATAAGCTAGCATATATGTGCCGCACGCATATAGTATACGCAGAGTTACGATTTGGTGTATATCGACGGATCAGAACACCAATTTTTATTTGTTTATTATTAAATCGACCTTAGAAATCCAATCCGGAGTTTACCATTAAAGTATAATACCATTACCATTAAAGTATAGTGCCTTTTTTTTTGTGCATGTGGTAGCTCAAGAAATTGTGCCGAGCCTACTTACTTGAGATTCGGTGGCGCGCTGAAAGCAAGGTTCCAACACTGGAAGAGTACATGATCACCGCACACATCAGCTGCGCTATGCCCATAACGGCCACCTCGAATTTCATTGGCATGGGAGCAGAAATAGCCACCAGGGAGGCTTTTGAATGGGTGACTAACGAATCCAAGCTGATGAAAGCTTGCTCTGTGATTGGTAGGCTTCAAAATGACATTTTCTCTCACGAGGTAAATCATTAATTATTTACATCTTGTATATAGTTTCATGAACTTCACAAACAAATTACCGAAGTATCGGAGTGCATCTCATAGCTACTAGCTAGTAAATAGTAACTACTATTGTGGTTTTGCACATGCAGTGTGAGCAAAACAGAAGTCATCCTGCTTCGGCCGTCGAATGCTACATGAAGCAACATGGAGCGACGGAGGAAGAAGCAGTTGAATTCCTGTGGAAGAAGATTCACAACGCCTGGAAAGACATCGTCGAAGAGTATCAGAAACCAACTCCGTTGCCGGTAGCTCTTACAGATCGTCTCCTCAATTTGGCGCGTTCCTTCAACTTGTTCTATGAAAATGGTGATGGCTACACCAACTCCCACCTCGTGAAGGATCACCTCACCTCAATGCTCATCGATCCTGTGCCCCTTTGAAGAAACCATTAAATGTTCGAATAATGCCCTAGCTAGCTTGTGCTCATGGTTCACAGATCACAGCTAGCTCTCTCTGCTGCTTCATTTGCTTTTCTGTATGTACGCCTGTTATGTTTCTTCCTCTTCTTGTTTTGTTGTTGTTGCTGCTGCTGTTGTTTCATGCTTCCTGTCCTGGACGCCCGGTTATCACCGTTATTGAAATTGTTTCCAATTTTCCTTTTCTTTCTTTTAATCAATAAAAAATTATATTGTTAATCATGGATCATATTTACTGACATACCTCTCTAAAATGAAAGTCGATTCATATGGGCTTGAGGTTTACACACTGATATAATAGATCTGGGGTCATCGAGATTCAAGCAGGAGACATCTCGACCACAGAAGATTTTGATATCATATTAAAAATCAGTTGGTTCAATAAATTAAATTATTAAGACAAATTCTATAAATCATATATCATTTCCTAACACTTACATCTAAACCTTAACTGCATTGTAGCTTCATCCAAAATGTCCTTAGCTAATTGGTATAAGGTTCAGCTCAATTCTTGAGCATTTTCACGATGTTCTGAGTTATTCTAATTAATTATGTTACTGATAAAAATATTAAAAATTCTTATGTATTTACATTGTGATAAACTCGGTAAATGAACATGCAAACATTTCTCATGTGGTGAGTTTTTTTTTATGCAAGTGTGTAAGGAAATGATAGAAATTTTTTTTTTGAAGATCTCAGCGGCTCAAATCCATTGTGAATCATTTTCATTCAAACTTCAGAATTTAGAGAGATTAAAAATTCTTATGCGATCACTCAAATAATTAAAGCAAGCCCCTGAGTTTAAATTTTGACACCTTGTCAAATTATGTATTTAAAACAAATCATTGATAATTTGAGATTATATGAAACACCTTTCTATAAGAATTACATAAATTAAAAACTCATACGTACGTAAAAGCTTATAGAGGGACAATTATTCCTTATGTATTAATTGATCATAACATATTACAAGTCTTTCGTAGCCATAAGTTCTTCCCCCAGTCAATTATAAGTCTTTCGTAATGTCACGCCTAGGCACTGGATAGTGATAAAATGCCTCGTCTAGGTCTTCGACAGAAAATTAGGCGTTCATAACGCCTAAGTGATGCGCAGACAAAAATAGGCAATGATTATTCGGTGTGAGGCATTAAAAAGCTAAGTGAGTAATGCTTAATTGCACAAGTAGATCATGGATTAAAAGAATTGTAGCTAATCTTCCTAAAACGACGTCATTCCTAGCTGCCCTATATTCAATGCATCCTTCACTCATTCCTCAATTTGAAATTTCAATTCTAGGTCATGACTTACTTTGGTTAATGTTGAGAGTTATCTAAGTTATTAACATTTGAAATTGAACTAAAGTAAAAACTTGCTATAAAATTTGTACTTCTACTAAAACCCGCTACTTTTGCTAAAACGCGTAGGTATTGTGTAACAGTGGCCGAACGCCTTCTTGAACCTTGATATTTAATAGAGATATAGGGGTCAGACTGGTGTACTCCTAGAGTATACTATACTCCGGGTACTCCTAGTGAGACATCTCCATCTAGACCATGAATTTAACCGAGTTTGGGATATGATACTATACCCTGACCTATAATGAATAGACTCCAGGCCTTGATTCTCTCAACTGATCAAGTCTGAAGTTCAATTTAATGGAAAACAATAATTGACCATTGAAATTGATCGGAGCTCATCAAATCACATCTAACAGTCAGATCACTACCTGGAGTACACTAAAGTAAACCAGACTTTACCATGGATATAGATATTACTTTTATTGATTAATCAATTCCATGACATGAACCGCCATTGGCAAGTTACAACATGACTCAAACCATTTACTAAAAAACGCTTGAAAACTGCAACAAATATAGTAAAAAGCTCTATGAATGCAAACCATGCATGCATGCAAGCATCCATCCATGATCCATATGGCTCTCCTCCACCGCCTTCTTTATTTAGTACTACTCCAAGCACCGCTTCTCAAACGCCATGTCGTCGTCGTCTACAACTCCCCTCGAAATGGCGAGGCAGTAGGATGCCCTTCATCATGGCAACAAAGGAAAGTGGTGTACTTCTCCATATACCTATGACACTCGGGGCACTTCATCCCTTCAGGAATCCTCCCCGCAGTATTAGGAAACTCGAACCTGCAACAAGGGTAAGTCACCCCATGGACCTTCTTGTGATGATCATCGTAAGCCAGATCGAAACCCTTCACCGGAATCTCTTCCTTCCACAGATCGTACTCCACCAGAGTCGTCAGCACCGTATTGCCATGTCCGTTCGATATGATGTTCGACCCTTTGCTCAAAACGGCCCACCCTCCTTCCTTGTCGTAGCTCAGCAGCTTCTTGATCTCCAGCATCATCGGGTCATGGTCGTCGAGCTTGCCCTGCTGGATCTTGCTGAACAGCATGCTCTCGAGGCGTGTCCAGAAGAACCAGATCATGGTTGGGTCCTGCCAGAAGTAGCTCAGCTTCTCCACGGTGATGGTGGCGAGGACGCGGCGTACTAGCTCTTTCTTCGTGCTCTTCCCCACGTAGGCCATTTCCAGAGGGATGCGCGAGGCTACTGCGACGGCCCGGGCTGTGTTGGTGAATTTTCGGACCCATTCTACGTCGTCTCCGCCGTAGAGGAAGATGTACTTGCCGTCCTTGATCTGGATTTTTGGAAACAGGGGAGAAAAACAGAGGAGAAAACAGAGGAATTTTCAGATTTGAGATTTGGTTTGGAGTTAGGAAACAGGGGAGAAAACAGAGGAAAAAACAGAGGAAAAACAGAGGAATTGTTAAATTTGAGATTGATTTTTGGAGTTGGTTCTTTTTGTGTGTTGTCCATTTTCCTTACCCAGTTGAGGATCATGGGGTCAATCCCATTGACCAAGAGCTCAAGCCGCCATGCCTCTTCCCTCCAAAGAGACTCCTCCCTCAAGCTGGTGAAAGGGAAAGCATTGCTGCCCCAAATCCACATCATGTGAATGGCATTGGGGGAGACAACCCTACCTTGTGGATCAAGTACCACCAAGATAGCCTTGTTCCTGAAGTGCCACTTCTCCCTGATGTACCTGACCACCGCCTTCTCGATCACGCTAGGGTGGCTGACGGTGTACCAGGGCATCGTCGACTGCAAGGTCTCGAACTGCTTGTGCATCGCCTCGGTCCACACGATCGATGGGTCCACGACGGGGATCCAGATCACCTCGTACTGGCTGTCCAGCCTCGTGGTGTGGATCCTCGACTCGTTGTAGATCTGCTCGAGGATCGAGAGCTCGTCGTGGGAGATGTTGAGGTCTGAGATTAGGAGGAGGACATTCTTCCTCCTTAGCACCTCGAGGGTAACCTGTTCCAGACCATGTATCATTGTCTTCCGGAAAAGTTTCATTTTTAGCTATAGAAAATTTTCATAGGCCAAAAGTGGAAGAAACCTTTCTCTTGGTAGAACCATCAACTATTGGCATGGGGTCATCCCTTGCATGAATTAGGGCCTTCAGAATCTTCATGTTGTCAATGTGCGTCATTTCAAATAGCTCCACCAGCATCCTGAATGTCTCCACATTCTTCTTGTCATCTATGATCAATGTAGAATACAGTTATGATCGAAATACTACGTACAATCCAAAATGCAGGTGAAATCAAAATCTCATGTTCAAAGATTTTATCATATGATCGAAACTCGTTCGTAAAGTGTAAGATTCTATAAGGAGGAACACCGATTTTAATTAGCTTGAATTTTGTAATCACTTCTTAGTTCTTAATATCTAATTGAATTATTTCCATGTTTTCATCTGATGCATTGCTGTACTCAAGGTATAGGGCCAAACCTATGTGTTGATAGCAACTTCCCAATTGTTGCTTCAAATGGTCACAAATGTTGGTCAGCTTGTGCTCAAGAGAAGAGAGCTCCCATGCCTCAGTTGTTGAAAGTGCATATCTACAAAACCAAGTCCAAATTAGTACACACAAATTCCATTAAAAAAAAACCCTAAGTGATTTAGATGATAAAGCCATTCTAAAATGAAGTTAAGATAAATATCGGCCATCATATGTTGTCAGCTTAACCACGATAACATGATAGTCAAACTATCTCGCCTGATAAATACCCTTCGTGGATGCTATTCACAAAAATAAAACTCAAACCAGGGATCACATTATCATAGACAATCATGACCACGAAACCAAAATGAACGAATATGCTAGAAACATTACTTACTCGTGTCCCATGGTAGTGAGAAGAGTGATCTGATTCGCACAAGCCACAACACTCCTAATGGTCCAATAAACAGCAGTTGGGATATGGGTCATGGCCTGGGTCAAAGCTGGCACATCCTCAGAGATGTAACTAGGTGGCAGCTCCTTGAACTGAACCATACACCTAGTCACTTCCACCATGGCTTTGATGAGCTTGTTGAGTGCATCGAACCTTGGCTTCAGCGGGCCAGAATGCTCCATGATCATGGGCAGCTGCCTGAGTGTGGCCATGGCCTTGGCAAGCTGGTTTGATGAGTATATCTGTGCAAGGAGCCAGAACTCTCCATAGTGGAGCGCAAAAGCAGCTAGGGTTAGGACCAGCTTGGCATCCCATGGGAAACTTGCTAGTGTCTCGAAGATGGCCACTGTTGTTGAGTGGGCATCTGCTCCTCCTAATGCCTTGTATGCAATCTGGAAAATTTTGTATGTGAAGTTAGATCACAAAATCACTTTCTTATACAACTACCAATTGGGGTGATGTACAGACATGACATTAACCATGGACAATAAAGAACACTATGTAAGTAGCAGTAAAAGCTTTGAGCAGAGATTATCTAACGGTGAACCTCTTTAGAAACTCGATCAATGGTGTAAGAGAGTGCTTCCAGCATGCTAACTTGATTGATCTGGTATGCCTTGTCCTCTATCTCATTCTTAGCTTGCATTGGCTGCAAACAACCACCAAAATCACATAAAATCATTACACATAAAGAACAATGATACTTTCTGCAGCATGAATATGGGATTTTCAGAAAGTCTTACCGAGAGAGTGGTATCAACTTGCAGAGTTGCACGGTTGAGAATGTCTTCCACAAGGACCAGCAAAGGCTTGACATCAACTTCTCTGCCATCAGGTGCATGAGTGGCTACAATCTGCTTCATCATCACATTGTCGTCGCTCATCATCATCATGTTGCCACCACCACGGTGCTGCTGTTGTTCTCCATAACCACCACCACCACCTCTCATTAGCTGCCTGCTTGGAGGAGGCATGGGAGCTCTTGGAGGTGGGAGTGCTTTCTGAGGTGGGAGTGATCCTCTGAAATCCATGGTGATCAGCAAGAGAAAAGAAGGCTGTTTTGATGAAGAGATAGTAAGAATGAGCGAGTATGGTGATGATGCAAACTGGGTTTTTGGCTGCAATTTATAGCAGTGTTTGAGAAAGGAATAAAGTATAAAGCTTCTATTTTTGTGAATCAACTTCCTTGCTTCTATTGGAGTTAAAATAATCCGGAAGACATATTAAAGAGAAAGAGTGTTGCTTTTCTTATTGTCCCTTCCAAATCTGCTTTTCTTTTGCCTGTGTTTGGGATCTGGAGCAGTGTTTTGTGAAGTAGGTGGTTTCTATATAGTTTCCATTTATGGCGTAAAGGCTATGGTAGTGGGGGAGTTGCAGCTGGTTTTTTCTTTGCCTTTCACTAACTTGAGCTCCACTCTAAGTGAAAACATGAGATTCATGTGGTTCGGCAAGTATGTCTACGCCTACAGAGTTACTAACTGCTTCCTTAGTGTATAGGATCTTTTATTGAGTTACCAATACGATATAGAGTTTCGTAGTTTATAGTATCATCGAAAACTCTTTATATAGAGCTCCAGAAAAGTCATCAAAGATGAACTATCAGATCATTACTCAGCTTTTTCAGTTAGTTATAAACTGCCTTCGAACAAGGAAAGGGTATATAACCAATGACTTCATCACCAAGAAAGTAATGAACTTTGACCACCATTACAAGCTTAGGTTCCTGATAACTTGGGAAGGAAGTAATTTACTTTCTTTCTCCTAGACAATGCAGGGAGCTTATGCCTTATGCGCTTGTCCAACCTTTAAACTATCTGCAGTTTCTTGTCATATATGGATCATACTCAGTGCTATGAGCGTATGACTGGGATGGATGGTTTGTTAAAATACTAGTAACCAAAACTAGGACGTTTGTGACAGAAGGTCACTAGTTCAACTTAAGTTGCTTTATAATTTATAAAACAAATACTCCGTGTCTCCGTCTAATGCGTTGTTAATTGGGTTGAGTCAACATGTCCAGGTCACTAAAATTGTCCGATCGTAGGATTTCAGGTTAGTTTGCAGGTTGGCAGAGTGGCTGCAAGGTGGGAGGAGGCTATGGTGACTTGAAAGCCAATGAAATGAAACCAACTAGATGGACGGAGTGTTTAATTACGAAATATTCAATCTTGTTAGCATTCTCGTTAGATTTTCAGTTTGTTGATTATCCTGTTTCAAACCCAAGTATTTCACATGGCATAAAGTACACAAAGACAAGTGAAAAAGGAAGCTGAAAGATTGCTCTACCAAGTGACACATGATTGAAGAAGGAACTCCATAGGATACACTTTCCATATGTAGCAGCTTTGATCAACATCAAAGCACAAATGCTTTATTCATTAAACTCAGCTAGCCAGCCAACCCCACATAGTGGTCATTGGCAATGTCAAGAAGAAAATCTCGATACAACAATCAAGATAAAGCAACAAATCATACCGATAAACTTTATTTAGTTCAAGTTTCTAAGAAGAAACTTCAGCATCTCTTTAGCAACAATTGCAGGAGTCCTAGAACAGCGATGACTCATGAGGATTTCCCACATCGTGGCAGCAGAGGAAAGTAGTGTATTTCTCCATTGTCCGATGGCACTCAGGACACCTCATCGATTCAGGAATCCTCCCAGCAGTGTTAGGAAACTCGAACCTACAGCAAGGGTAAGTCACCCCATGGATCTTCTTGTGGTGCTCATCGAACGACAAGTCAAATCCTTTAACAGGAATGTGCTCCTTCCACAGGTCATACTCAATCAGAGTTGTCAACACAGTGTTCCCATGTCCATTTGATATTATGTTTGAGCCATTGCTCAAAACAGCCCACCCTCCTTCTTTGTCGTAGCTCAACAGCTTCTTGATCTCCTGCATCATTGGATCATGATCGTCAATCTTCCCGAGCTGGATCTTGGAGAACAGCATGCTTTCGAGTCGTGTCCAGAAGAACCATATCATGGTGAGATCTTGCCAGAAGTAGCTCAGCTTCTCGACTGTGATCGTTGCTAGGACTCTCCTGATTGCCTCTCTTTTGCTGCTTTTCCCCACGTAGACCATTTCTAAGGGAATGCGTGCTGCTGAAGCAACTGCTCGGGCTGAGTTTGTAAACTTTCGTACCCATTCTACGTCGTCACCTCCATACAAGAAAATGTACTTCCCTTCCTTGATCTGAAACAAATATGTGACATGTAAGCCATCTAGCTAGGATGTGATTATTACCCGTAAGTAGTGATCCTAACTGTAATTTAACTTTCATGAGATCTTCAATCAAGGGACTTAATAAAAGCATAAAATGAAATAGTACTGCAAGGATATGTTCCTTGGTAAAAAGATCATAGTATAGGTATGCATTTGTTAGAAGAGCATCACGCAGGAACTAGAAATTCATAGGTTTCTGTCTTTTTACCCAGTTGAGGATCATTGGATCAATTCCATCGACCAGAAGCTCGAGCTTCCATGATTCCGTGTTCCACAAGTCTTCTTCCCTCCTGCTTGTGAAAGGAAACGCATTGCTTCCCCAAATCCACATCATGTGGATGGCATTGGGGCTGACAACCTTGCCTTGCGGGTCAAGTACCACAAGGATGGGCTTGTTCCTGAAGTGCCACTGTTCCCTAACGAACTTAACCACTGCCTTCCGGATCAACGAAGGGTGGTGCACCGTATACCATGGCATTGTGGATTGCAGGCTGTCGAACTTTGTTTGCATTGCATCGGTCCACTGGATCGAAGGATCCACTAGAGGGACCCACACCACCTCGTACTGGCTGTCCAGCCTTGTCGCATGCAGCCTCGACTCGTTGTAGATCTGCTCGAGGATCGCCAGCTCGTCGTTGGAGATGTTGAGGTCTGATATCAGTAGGAGGACATTCTTCCTTCTCAGCACTTCAATGCTGACCTGTGCAATCAAACTCCAAAATTAACAACTTGAAGTAAGTTCGATTTAACTGATGAAATTGAAAGACCTGGTTAACTAACCCTTCTCTTGGTAGATCCATCGACAAGTGGTTGCATGTCATCCTTGCTGTAAATCAGTGATTTCAGCACCTTCATGTTGTCAATGTGGATCATCTCAAACATATCCACCAGCATTTTGTACTCTTCAAGGCTTCTCTTCTCATCTGCAACTCACAAAAAACACTAGTTTTACATGAATTTTATTGATCCTAACATATAAGCTGATCCTTGCACAAGAAGCAATCAAAAGAACCTATGTGTTGGTGGCATGTAGCTAACTCCTTCCTCATATGCTCATGTATGTTGGTGAGCTTGTGTTCCAATGTGGACAGCTCCCATGACTCTGTAGTCGTAAGTGCATACCTAGGAAGCAAGTTTCAAAGAGAGACTCGTCAAAACTTGACTTCTGAATTGAGGTGCCAAACAGTTAAGTTTTGAGGGTTCAGGAATTAGATGGATTGGTATTTGCCACCTTTAATTTGGAAACAAGAAATACTTATGATGCGAAGTTGCGCAAAAAAGAAAGCCATACTCATGTCCCATGGTGGTGAGCAGAGTAATCTGGTTCGCGCAAGCCACAATGGCTCTCACAGTCCAGTAGACAGCAGCGGGAACATGGGCCATGGCCGCTGACAATGCAGGTACGTCTTGGGAGATATATGAAGGTGGAAGCTCCTTGAACTTAACCACACTCCTAGTAACCTCCAGGATGTTCTTGATGAGCTTGTTCAAGGCATCGAATCGAGGCTTCAATGGACCGGAATGTTCCAGGATTGTGGGGAGTTGCTTCAGGATGGCCATGGATTTGGCAAGCTGGTTTGAGGAGTAGATCTGTGCAAGGAGCCAGAACTCTCCATAGTGGAGTGCAAATGCAGCTAAGGTCATCACCAGCTTAGCATCCCATTGGAAGCTTGTGAGTGTCTCGAGTATTGTCATGGTTGTGCCGTGTGCATCTGCTCCTCCAAGTGCCTTGTAGGCTATCTGAAAACAAAGATTCCCGACCGTACATAGCGTTGAGTCATCAAGGATATGATTTACTAAGTACGAGTCGAGCCAAGTAATGAATTTGGACGACAATGGCACAGTACATGGACTTATTTGTTACAAGTCGCAGTACATGGACAAGTGTTGTTTGTCAAATTGAACTGCAAATACCATTCATAACCCTATTTTGATATAGTCTCCTCTTAACTAACCTCACAAGAAATTCTGTCAATGACATAGGACAGAGCATCAAGCACTATGGAGTAGCTGATCTGGTGGTTCTTCTCCTCCATTTCTGCATGTGCTTGGCCAGCCTTTTTCCGAACGGAAATAAATACAAAACTGATTAGAATACCATAGAAACAAACAGACATTCAAACTGCATTCATTTTCTTGAGAAGCTGTTAACTGATGGTATACCATACCAGCAATGGCGGTTCAACTTGAAGGGTGGCGCGATTGAGGATGTCTTCAACTAGGTGAAGAAGTGGGGCCACATCGACTTCTCTGCCGTCTGGTGCATGAGTCGCCTGCACTTGCTTCATCATCACGTTATCGTCAGACATTGATAGCATCCCGCCACGGTCACCCTTGATCAGCTGCATGTTTGCACCAGTAGCTGCTGCAAGTGACCTCAGAGACATGGTGACGAAATGAGCAAATGGAAACCAACGATAGAAACTTTGGAAGGTAATCTGTAAATGTGTGAGTACCCACTAATGGAAACTCACTAGGCCATTTATATCCAACAAAGAGATGGAATAAAGTTGTCTTCTTCAATCAACTTCCTTTTCTTCGGAGTTAACATAATCTTTCAGCAGAAGATTGTACTTTGGATGTCCCTTTAGGCATCTTTTGGTAACTGCTAACCATTGTTTGGCAATTCAGCATGGCTGCTAAAAAGGGATAGCTCATGCCTACTCAACAGTACGAACAAGAATCACACGGTTATGATACGTGCTGGACGCGAACGTATCAAAACCGCTCATTTTTTCACCTCATCCAGAGCTCATCACTATTGTCCGATTCTTCATCAGACAACTAAGCACTACTCTTTCAACATGATAGCCAAATTCATGGTTCGGTATGAAAGTTAGGGATATACAGTAACATGGATTACATACTTACTAGAGAGAGAGAAGAAAAACAAAAACAAATATTGTAAAGCCATGTGGAGCATGCTGAACTACCACTCCTGTTAGTGGCTTCCTTGCTTGATTCCCTTCCCTAAATGTGTCCCAAGACTTCCTCTTTCTTAATCCCAGAAAGAGTGAAGAGATGGAAAAAGTTCAAAATGAGATGCTTTTGCTCTTTATGGAGCTATCTTTTGAACATTCTTATTCAAGACCCCAGCTAGTGGCCCCTCAAAAAGGTTCTTCAAAATATATCCTATCCAGCCTTGTTACCTCAAGTACTATAGACCTATGATTAAACCTGGTACTAAGATTCCTAAACACTAGATTTCTGCTAATTGATTGATTATTATTATTAATAGTCAAGACAGTGAAAGAAGCCATACGACAGTAACAAAGCTCAACAAGAAACCTTCTTTCAACCCACTAGGATGGAACAAGGGAAAAGCATGAGGAAGATCATGATGTTATATGCTTTGCTTTTATTACAAACCTTAAAGCATCTCTCTCGAGGAAATAACTACTTTGTTCCCTCAAACAACATATCTCCTAATTGATTCCAAGACAAACTTTAAATCAATTTGTTCTTTTACAGGAAAATATCTCATCATAATTACACTTCAAAGTTCAAAGCTTAAATTATCTAGGGAGTCTTCCACCGAATGTGATCCACCAATTAGCTCATACATTTGAATATGCCTGCTACAAGCTGACTGATACATGACCATTTGCAGCTCCCAGCCTCTCACAATTTCCTTGGGGAAAACATATTTGCCAGAATTTGGCTCGAGTTATGAGTTGTATGTTAATCTAGTGCCACCAGTGATCTCGCTATTGGATCGACACGGGTGGCATTGTTTACAAGATTACCACCGCATGGATCCATCAGCTGAGATCACAGGAAGCCATGATCTAACAGTGTCGGAAGCACTATTAGCTTACTGGTGATTGTGTACGTGGCAACCAAATTCATGACCTAGATAGACCATTTGGTCAGAAACTCTATAAAATATGCATCAGGTCAGGTGACTCGTAATCATGAGGGGATGTGAGATCTGATACCAAACCCTCTTCTTTGGTGCTAAGAGAGCATCTTCACTTGCATTGCTACTTCCTACAACAGGGGACATTGGACATGGACCACTCATGAAGAAGAAGGAACTGTTCTTTGCTTCACACATTTATCTCAGAACCATAAAGAAAAAGTGTGAGGTTTACTTAAGAATACAGATTTGCTGGAGCTACAACTGACACAAGTCATACTCTGTTGTATGGAAAATTAGTGATTGAAGTGTGATTAGATTGCAAAGTAACTAGGATATTTTCCCCCCTCCCGATATTAATCTATAGAATGGATTGCACTTCACATGTGAAGGTGACAATCAACAAAGCATTATAAGATCTGCACACAATATGAAAACAGAAGAAAGATAGACTTCGACTAATCCAACGAGATCCAATAGATATATAATCCTAAAATCTTCGGCAAAAGATTGAGATTTAGTTCATCATCCAAGAAAACATATGACTCCCTATTAAAAATCTATCTCTCTACAAAATAAAGGAGCAACAAAAGACTTTGATCACCGTCTTCTTCCCCCTGGCAATATATGAGACTTCCCCCAATCATTTCTGCTCCCTCTCAATATACATGGGTGCAGTGACAGAAGGACATAACTGCAATAGTAAGAGCCCACTGCAATTTGCCTGCACCACATGAAAGTCGACTTCTATATTACTATTATCATCATTGTTAACTCAACAAACCTTCTGCAACACATTAACCCAACCAACCTAACTAATATGCACAAGGAGCACCGTAAAAATCGTCTTAAAACTACATTCTTCTTGCAAACGTTTTATTCAAAAGGGTCGAGAAACAAGAAAATATAGGCATGTGGTTCAATTTGATGAATTTGAAAGAAGTATTAATGCTCACATAAGGCAATCTGGGGTAAACTAAGTAAAAGGTGGGTCATTTTTTGCTACCTGATGATCCTAATCGCCTCTCATATATGTTGTGGTCTCAGCATGATATAATGCAAGCTATAGACTTGCAAGCAAAAAGAACAAAACAAGAAATCGTAAGTTTTCGGCTCAAACCTCACATAGGCTGCTAACTATGTATGATCAACTCACTGTTGAACTCGATTAACAACATTCATCCAAGCACTCATTTCCCGTGTTTTAAATATCCAAATCAGATCTCAACATCCATTCACCCCCTACATCTAACAAAGCAATCTATCACATTCTGATCTTAACATCTAAACAGTCAACACTGCCACCTCAAAAAGTGAAAGAAGGGTACCTCCGGGCAGAAAACTAAGGCCTGGAGGAGGGGCCAAATGGGCTTGGTAAGCCGTAGCTGCGGCACACTAATTCCAGCCTCTGGCTAGTGTGCTTATACGCCCTCTGCGCTTCGGCGACTGCCGTCTCTAATTCGGAGAGCGAAGCTTCCACATCCACAACAGGGGTCCCCGGCGCAGGAAATGGAGGGAGCGCTCCCTCGAATGGCCCGATCGGGCACGTGTAGCCCTGACTTCGGGAAAAGGCTTCCAACACGCGCTCGGTATCCTCGAATTCTTTCCATATCTCGGCGAGTTTGGCTGAACTAGCCGCTATCCGCTCCTTGTAGCTCCGCTTCTTCAGCGGTGCCACGGCTCCCAGCTTTTTCATTTGCCCCATGGCTGAAATACCACCACCACTGAGGTCGATTCGCTGGCGGTCTCCGGCGATGCAGCGACGTCTGTGATCTCAGTTGCCCTTTTGGGGAAGGAAAGGAAAAAGCGAACAGAGAAGCCCGCGATAATGCAATCAGAATTTATAAGTTACCTATAGGTACTAGAAGTGTTTGAAGTGTTCCGAAATGATCCTCACTTTCATCCATAGTTTCAATTCAGACTCAGAAAAGCTGCTCCGTTTGAGCTCCGGCGGTTTTTCAACCCAAAAATCCGTCCAGCTCAGTGGTCAAGCCGAAACCAATTTCTGGTTGACCTCGCTTGATCGGGGTTAATACTGTTTCGGTCCAGAGCTCAATCAAATGATGTTAACATAACTGATTGTATTGTTGTCTTAGAAAATTATAAAAACTATATCCATGGAGACTATTGTCGGAAGATTTCACTAAGTCCAATCTTCTATTTTCTTGGCCGGCCGAATCTGGGAAGAGTGCCAGTATACTCTCCCTACTTAAGCTAGTAGCCAAAATTCAACGCTGGGAAAGACGGAGGCCGGAGCAACTAAACCACTGCCCATCGAGGGAGAAGCCAAAGATGATCGATCGATCGAGAAGCCATTTTTAAGCCTATAAAAAGCTTGGAAACTCATCTGAAAGAAAGCACTGAATGAGAAATATGAAATACAATGGGGCACTATTACTCCTCATATCCTTCTGCAGCCCCAATGATATTCATAATCACACTCCTCGTCGGGTTCCAGAGCGCGGCTACTTCCCATAAAAAGATCTGCAGCACCGTTCGGGTGGACGACCCGACGACGTTCTCCGGTTTCGTCGATCAAGCTCTCAAGATACTGGTGGTATTCACAAGTTACCCTTCGGTTCAGGGAAGACCCACCGGCCGTGTGGTAACCTTTCCTCCGACGTCGCCTCGTGGTGCTGTTGAAGGCCGGTCCACTTGTGAGGATGGCGTCATCGGTGCCGCTTGCAATCGATGTCTTGCTCATCATGCGCGGCATTTGCAGAAATGCAAGAACTTTACTCGTGGAAGATCTGCCTATGAAGGTTTGTGTGACCTTGAATTCCATCAAATCTGAATACTCTGCCTCTGAATCTGATGTCAAAGCTCGGAAATATGAAAGGCCACGGTTGCTTACATCCAGCCTGATAATGCATACAACTAATTCAAGCTTGCTGTACACATAGCACGCTTCCCTTGCAAAATGACAAGAGCAGACTCTGCTTTGACATGGTAATGGTTTGAGATGATACCACTTACCTCAGATAAAAAGCAGCAAAACTTCCAACTTGAATACATATACCCTCTAGTAGGTGACTATCACTCATGAGATAACTATCTTTCTCGAGAAGCATAATGTGCTATGGTGCTAGCCCGCTAAATTGATTCACTATCAGTGTGACAAATCGAAATAACTACCTGGTCTGGAAAATGATAGTCTAACTCAAAACCACACTAATCTCCATCGATCCACCGCTCGCTTCGATATACATGGGTGCCGTTGAAGGAGGGCATAACTGCAAGTAGGCATCACACGATAGTTGACTTCTTTCATTACTATCATCATCATCATCATCATTTCAACAAACCTTAAGAAGCACAGCAAATGAACCAACCAACTATGATGCACGAGCACCCTAACAATCGTCTTAATGCTACATTCTCATTGTTTCAAAAGGGTCAACAAACAAGAAATAGGTCAGGTCCATGTGGCTGAATGTCGAAGAAAATGTTAACCGTTCATTTGGGATAATCTATGGGTAAATTAGAAAAGGTGGATCATACTCTGCTAGAAGATGATCCTAATTGTCTATGTTCAGTTAAGTTAGTGGTGCGTGAGCAATTCAATCTCAACATGATATCATGCAAGTTCTAGACTTTACAACTTACAAGCAAGTAAAAGACATCCCACAAGAAGAAATCATCAGCTTTCGGCTCAATACCTCACATAGCCCGCCAATTTGACCACGATCAACTCTCTCTTTAGGTTTAATTCCAAAACTCCCAATTCAATCTCACCATTTATGCAAATATCTCCAAATCCATTCACCCCCTAAATCTACAAAACAATCACATTCTAATCTTAAATCATCTACTACAGCACTCAACACTACGCTCAAAGTGGAAGAAGAGTACCTTAGCACAGAAACTAAGGTGTGGGATCGGCGGATGACTCCTCTGCCTTAGGGTTGATGCATGCGCCTGGAAGAAGCCCCAATTGGGAATGCTAACCCGAGGCTGCGGCACATGACTATCACCCTCTTCTCCGTGTGTTTCATTGCCCTCTGCAGTTCGGCCATTGCCATGTCTGTTTCGGCGATCGCCCTGTCTACGTCCACTATAGGGGCCGCCGGTAACGGAGGAAGCGCTCCCGTGAAGGGCCCCAATGGGCACGTGTAGCCCTGGCTGCGGGAAAAGGCTTCCAACACTAGCTCGGTTTCCTCAAATTTCTTCCACATCGCCGCGATTTGAGCTGAATTAGACGCTATTCGCTCTTTATTGCTCCGTTTCTTCAGAGGAGCTACGGCCCCCAACTTCGTCATTTTCCCCATGGCGGAAATCGCACTTGGTTCGTGGCGGTACTCGCTGGTGTGATGTATTCTGCTGCGGTGGGGTGATTCGAAGGGAAATCGTCGGGGAGGCAACGAAGACGACGACTGATTTTAGGGATTTGGGGGCAGGCGCGAAGATGGTTTGGAAAAGGGAAAAAAGGGAAAGCCGTGGCCTAGGGCGGGAAGCACGTGCAACGGTTTGGTTCGAGTGAACCGCTCCAAATTTGATATAATATAACATGGTTTCTTGATTTTGATATAAAGATTAAAGACGTCGGTTGCTTATAGGATTTTAATGATGTATTAAATTCATATTTGTTGACTAAAATGAGGTTGTTCTAAATCTGTAGGGCCCATAAATGTGGGATTATTTTTGGCTCAAAATCGTGGACCCCAAAGATTATAAAATTCCACCTTATGAGCTAGAATTTTGAGAGAAGCCAAAATCAATGGACCCCACTAATGATTAAATGACAAAAATAAGCTTTATTAAAATATAAAAATACTTTATTAATGATATGAATAAGGATATGATGATAAATTCATCATGTAATCCATAAATCCATTATACTAGAATCCATTTTGAAATCCAACAAGCAAACATGCAATTTATAAAATTCAACACAAATCCAAAATAAGAAAAACCAACATATTCATTTACTCTCAAAATCCAAAGTTATACCCAAATCCCTCATTTTATAAAAATCCAACAAGCAAACTACCAATATAACATGATTTGGTTCGTGATGCATACTTGGTCCAAATTAGGGAGATCTGCGGGGCTTGGGGTCCAGTAGGAGATAGAGTATAGGGTTGGATCATGGGTTGGGATGGGCTATTTGACGTGGCAGGTTGTGTTTTAATTTTTCGGTTAAAATTGATTGATTAGGAATTTATGTTTGCTATGCCATCAAAAAAACTGATTTCGTTAACAGAGATTGACGGAAGGTAACGGTTAATGACCAAACTTTGAGTGTTGAAGTAATTTTAGTGACAATGAATGGAATAAAATACTTTTAGTGACCAAACGTGACTTTTTTTAGTAGTTTCAGTGACCAAACTAGAAATTTATCCTATTAATTGAGAACACAAGGGGTTTAAGAGTTGGGTAATGACTAATACACCCCTACCGAAAATCAAGGGGAAAGACATGATTTTTTGAATATTGAAAAGTTGGTAAAATTCTATCATCTTATATTCTATTGATGATTTAAAATTTTCTGTGTGAACCAAAAAGCTACTTGATTTAAGATCCGACCGAACTTTTACTATAGTTCGGTGAAACCACGATAAGAGTTATGTCAGACCGTGTTTCAAACTAAAAAACTGTTCAACTTTACGATCAAGTCGAAAACCAATTTCATTTTGACCTACGCTCAAACTGGAAGGTGACCTCGCTTGATCATTGATATGCCTCACATAGGCAAATCGGATAGGCTCAGCAGATACGGTGGGAGGATTCTGATTCAGTTTGTCATCCCGCCACTACGGATTGATTGTCCCTACCGCTAAGAATAGCTAGTACAAGAGCTAGTGTATATTTGGAAACTTTTCTATTTTATTGGACAAATTAGTTTCGGTTGAGACCTCAATCAAACGATGTCAACCCTTAATTTCAGAGGCCAACCGAAATCGATTAAATATATTGTTTTCTTGATAAATTGTAAAGGGTAATTAGATCATTTACGTATTAAATTACCGACGATGGTAGTCGGAACTCGGAAGATTTTACTAAGTTCAATTTCTATTTTTTTCTCTAAAAAAAATCTATTTTTTGGCCGATGGAATCTGAGAAGAGTGTCAGTATACTCTTCCAAATTAAGCTAGTAGCCAAAAAAACAAAGTTGGGAGAGAAGGGAGAAACTAAATCACTACCCATAGAGGGAGAAGCCAACAATGATCCATCAATCGAGAAACCATTTTTAGCCTATACAAAGTTGTCAATTTGGGGGGTCGACCCTTCTATTGACTCGTGACCCAATAAAAAAATGGGTTACACATATTCGCGGGTTGATTCGTTAGAAAGTTATCGGATTGGATGTCACACACGTAGTTTTATTTTTGCTTTGTGAAATATGTTTTTTTCCCCGGTTTTTCTCTTCGCCTAATTCTATCTTTGGAATTCTAAGTTGAACATTTGAATATTGATGTTATATAAGTATGTGTGAATTTTCACTATATGTTGGATCCAAGTATGATATGTTAGTTTGGTATAATTTTATATATTATTACTCATTTATATTAGATTTGATATAATTTATAAATATATGAACAATATAATACTTGTTTGCATATACACGAGACTCTTACCCACCTGCTTGATCAGTCCAATGAGCTAAAGTGGGTTGACAACCTTGAGGAGGCTATAAAAAGCGTAGAAACTCATATGAAAGAAAGCACTAATGAGATCTATATACAACTACAATGGTGTACTACTACTACTCATATACTTCTGCAGCCCAGATGATATTCATAATCACACTCTTCGTCGGGTTCTGGAACGGCAATCCCCATGAATCTCCGTTCTGCAGCACCGTTCGGGTGGCCCACCCGAAGGCGTTCTCCGATTTCGTAGATGAAGCTCTTAAGGTACTGGTGGTATTTACACGTTACCCTCCGCCTCCGGTTCAGGGAAAACCCACCGGCCGTATTGTAATCTTTCCTCCGACGGCGCCTCGTGGTGCAGTGAAAGCCTTGTCCACTTGTCTGGTTGGCGTCACCGGTGCCGATTGTAATCGTTGTCTTGCTGATCTTGAGCTGCATTTGCTGAAATGCAAAACCTTTACTCGTGGACAAGCTTTGCGTGAAGGTTGGTGCAGCCTTCGATTCCATCAACTCTGAATACTCTGCCTCCGATGTCAAAGCTTGGAATCAAGCAACTATAGAAATCAAAGAAAATAATGTGAGAGTTGACAGTGGACCATGGCATCGCTTTTCATCATGTATTCAGATCTGCATACAGTGGCATTATAATCTCGAACGTAATATTGAAGAGCTGTAGATGCATCATACTCACGCTTGATATATATGTAAGTGAAATTTCTCTCGGCATAAAGAGTTACAAAACCTACACATGGTAAGAGAAACGAGAAGAGAGAGACCGACCGGATATCCATCCAGACTTCACACAATAAGAACACGAGAAACGATATACCCATGTGAAGGTGATCACTCCACATCAAACACTGTAAAACTCAATACAACGATGACATAAAACGAGAAAGTACAGACCCAGACTCTTTCATCCAGATTTCTATAGCTAAATCCAGAGGTCAATCACCCGTCGGAATCAAAGTTCATGTGTCACGGAGGAGAGCCCAGCTGGGAGTGGTAACCCGTAGATGCGAGACATCACTTCGACCCTCTCCACGGTGTGCTTAAATGCCATCTTTAGTTCCGCCATTTCCCTCTGCATTTCAAGGATTGAAGCCAGAGGACCCACCATTGTGCCCGCCACGGCAGACAACGGCAGTGGAGGCAGCCCTCCCTTGAAGGCTTCCAGCTTCAATTCGGCCGCCCTGACTCTGCTGCGTAACACGGCGAGATGAATTGATACAGTGGCTACTTGCTCTGGATATGATTGTTTCTTAGTCTTCTTCTGTGGTGCTACTGTGGCTGGCGCCCTCTGCATCTTGCCCATGGCGAACAATCAACAGGCAAGACATTGGTAGAAGTAGCGGCGATCTTGTGATGATGGGTGCCTTTGGGACTTGGGAGACGGATTTATAGGAAGCCTGATAATGCATACAACTAATACAAGCAGATCATGTGGAGTTAATACAGAAGATCTGATCTTATCTTTGCTCCATTATTTTGCTTACATTTATAATTCTTGTCCCTATGTTTGTTTCTTTTCAAGCTCACTGTACACATACCACGCCTTACTTCTCAAGCTGCTGTACACATATCACGCCTTTATTGCAAATTGATATGAGCAGACTCTGTCCCTTCGCGGACATCCGATATGAGCAGACTCTGTTTTGCCATGGGAATGGCTTGAGATGAGACCACTTAAACTCAGGTGAAAAGCAGTAAAATTTCCAACTTGAACACGTATACCCTTGGATATTGTGGCTAGTTTCTTCTCCTTCAGTGCTGCTTCTAGGGGAGTTAATACAGCAAGATCATGATCTTAACTTTCGTCCATGATTTTGCTAGCCTTTATGATTCTTGTCCCTATGGTTTCTCGTCAAGCTTACTGTATACATACTACGCATTTCTTTTCAAGCTTTGCTGTACACATACCCACCCTTCCTTACAAATTGGATAAGAGCAGAGACACTGTGCTGTGCAATGATAATGGCTAGAACTTCCAAATCCAACAAGCAAACGAACCTAATGCAGGTGAAAAGCAGGAACTTCCAACTCGAACGAATATACATACCCTCTACTACCTTACTACGATTAATGAGAGAATTAACTAACTTCATAACTTCACTCTCGTTTGAATCGACAATTGTGACAAGTGTAAGGGTGTTCAGTTACCGGGATTTCTCTCAATGTATTAGCCAAGAAAACTGCAATTTGGAGAGAAAGTGATCAATCAACACGAGGCATTATGAAATCTACACATAAATAGGAAAACATAGCATAGATAGACCTATCCGTTGCTACATTGCCCAAAGTCCTAGAAAATTGAGATTTAGTTTATCATCCAAGAGAACATAATTTATCTATATTAAACAGCTATCTTACAGGAAATAAAGGAGAAAAGAAAAGTCTTCTTATCCCCTTTCCAATCTTCCCCAGAAGATATGAGCCTTCCCCAGCCTTTTGTCCTTCCTCCTCTAAACTTCCACAATTGCCAGGAATGCAGGGGGCAGAGGATGCAACTGCAATAGTAGCAGCCACTGCACTACATGAAAGCTGACTTCTCTGTTGTTGTTACCACTATCATTATCTCAATAAACCTTCAGCAGCATGTCAAATTAACAACCAATAAAGATGCACGGCAACTCTAACCTTAATGATTTGATCAAATTAATCGACCTAAAATTACATGCTTGTGAAGATAGATTCCGAATGGTCATTATACTTACGGGTTATGTAGTTGAATGTGATGAATTCGGAACAAAGTGTAAGGCTCAAAAGGGGATAACAGCCATACCATATAGTTACATGGTGATCCTAATTGCCCCTATCAGCTTTAACTGCCTAATACTACCTCAGGTATAGAATCATGCAAGTTCTGGACGTACAATGCAAGCAATACCGCCCCACAAGAAATCATCAGTTTTAAGATCGAAATCTCACATTGTTCTGCTGCTGTTTATGTCCATCCATTAAAATCGATTAACATTCTCTTAAACTTACCATCTTGAGACAGTATCATGCAAGTTCTAGTTTACAAGCCAAACCAAACCAGCACGGCATAGAACAAGAAATCATCAAATCTTTTGGCTCAAAATCTCACATTAGGCTGCTACTATTCTCTTGAGTTCGAAAACAGCTCACTTTCGATCCCACAATTCATGCAACCATCAAACACAAATGGCTATACTTTCAAGCATTCATTCTCATATTGCATCCACCCCTAAATCTACAATGTCTCACATTCCAATCTTAAGAACATCTAGACATTCAACAACAACTAACAATCCCTATACACTACAGCTGAAAGTAAAAGAGAAGGAAAACTACCTCGTGAAGAGCAACTAAGCCCTGGGCGCCACTGGGCGTGCGCAGCCATTGATGCGGCACAAGGCTTCCAATCTCCTCTCCATGTGCTCCAAAGCCCTCTCCATTTCCGACACGGAATCATGCGTAGCCACTAGCGCGGCCGGAGATGGATAAACCACCGCCCGCCTGAATGGCCCGATTGGGCATACGTAGCCCAGACTGCGGGACAAGGCTTCCAACCTGCCCTCGGTACGCTCGTATGACCTCCATATCGCGGCGAGTGAAGCCGATGCAGCAGCTATCGATTTCGATTCCGGAATCGTTCGTTTCTCATCTGTATCCGTCGTCCTCGCGCGTTTCTTCAGAGGCGCCACGCCTCCTGCCTTCCTGATCAGACCCATCGCTGAAATACACCGACTTTTTTTTCCAGGCGAAAACAAAATTGGAAACCAGTCTCCAGCTGATTCAAGTCCCGCTATCGTGGGCGAAAGCGCGATTCGAAATGGGACCGGCGATGAGTTGGCGCCGTGTGATTTTAGGGTTTGCGGGGAAGGAGCTATCGAGGAAGAAGAGAGATTGGGAAGAAAGCGAAGCCCGATAATCCGTTTTTCCGGGGATATTCTTTTTTTTTGGCCACGTCGGGTTTTTTGGCGGGATGGGGTGCGGTTGGTCTTTTCCTTTCCCGCCATAATTCCAACTCCATACCCAGTTTTCCGTGTAAGCAGCAGAAATGGTCACTAAGCCATGAACCATGGTGAATGTAACAAATTGGTCACTAGAATTTACAGAAGTAAAAGTTGATTATTTACTTTTATTTCATACAAAATAAATTATTTGTAACATAACAAAATAATATTATATTGATAGAATGATTGTCCCACCAAAATATGATAGTGTCTAGTACAGTTTCACAAACAATACTTTCAATACGATTAATTCCATTCAAAATACCGGTTTTACATGAATTTATACTTTAATGATGGTTTTATCACGATTCTACGGTTAATCAGTGAACCAGCAGTCTTATCTATCTATATTCAATCTCAGTACAGTTTCACAAACATGACCATACAATCAGTTACAACTTTGATGATGAACTCAATAACAGTACCTTTGACACCAGCAATTTACATGAAAAACAGACTCATATTTGCATAAGATCACGCACCATATATCAAACAAGAGCTAAGTTAGTACTATGCCCCGCACTGTTTACTCATCGCAGCATTGATACATAATGAACTTCTCCATAGCCCGGCCACACTCCGAGCACACCACCCTCTCCGGCGCGTTTGCTGCAGCGCCAGGAAGCACGAGACGGTTGCAGTGGTGCGGGCTGTGGAGCTCCATGAGGTGCTGCTTAAGTGCTGGGAGGAAACCTGTTTCTTTAACTTGCTTCTCCCACGATGAGAACTCGGTCAAGCATGTCACAAATGTGCTTCCTTTGGCTCTGACCAAGTCTCCTCCTGATCCTCTGCTGAGAATGGCCCATCCATCATCACTGCCGTCGTAGCTAAGCAATGTCATGATCTCTTGCATTATGGGGTCGTTGTCGACCGTTTTATGGAGCTGGTTCTTTGAGTGCCACATGCTCTCGATCCGAACCCAGAAGTACCATACCAGGGTCAAGTCCTGCCAGCAGTGGCTCATGTTAGCTGCTGTTATGGCCGTTATGTTCTTACGAACTCGCTCTTTTGGGTTGCTTTTGCCCACGTAGACCATCTCCAGGGGGATGCCTGCTGCGTTCCCCACTGCATGTAGCACGCTGGTGAATTTGCGGATCCAATCTGTATCCTCGCCTCCATATAGGCAAATGTACTTATCTTCAGACATCTGTAGATGAGAAGATACAAGGAGATTGGGTTTAAGACATTGTAGTTGACTTGTAGTATGGGTCGGATTTGTAGAAGATTGGAAATAAGTCGATAACAATATCACGGTGAATCAAAGAGAACATACCCATTGCACGATTGTTGGATCAATGCCGTCTACCAACAACTCGAGCCTCCAACTCTCTTCCTTCCACAGGGCTTCCTCCCTAGCAATGGTGAAAGGGAAAGCTGCACTCCCCCAGATCCACATCATGTGCAGTGCATTTGGGCTCATGACCTTTACTTGAGGATCTAGCACGACGAGAATAGTCTTCTCCCCGAAGTTCCATTCTTCTTTCACAAACTTGATCGCTGCAGGGTCGATAATCGATGGATGGTACACTGAATACCAAGGCATGGTTGCCTGCAGGCTCTCAAACTGCTTCTGCTTACCGTCGGTCCATGGGACAGCAGGGTCGAGGATCGGGAGCCACACAACCTCATACTGAATGTCATGTCTCGTTGGATCGATCCGAGCTTCATTGTATATCTGCTCGAGGATAGCGATCTCCTCTTGCAGGATGTCCAGGCCTGATATGAGAAGCAGCACCATTTTTCTCCGTAGGACATCCAAATGAGCCTGTCATTGTCAACCACAAGGATAACTTCTATTGGAGATTTAGCCTTTAAGGAAGAAAAACTCACTATATTTACTGATTCAATGAGGATTCATCCTGGGTAGCAGGCCTATTTACAGTATAATCCTATAGGACGATATGTCCATGACCAGATATCAGGATTCATAGGCCTATAAGGTTAGCATAATTATCACTCAATTATTACAGAGACTGCAAATAGAATTGTCAAAATTGAAATCAGAGAAAGAGAATCAGAGAGAACCCTCTTCTTGGTGGCACCATCGACAAGAGGCTGCAGATCATCCTTTGCATAAATCAATGCCTTGAGAACCTTCATGTTATCGATTTGTGTCGTCTCAAACAAACGGATAAGGCTCTGATAAGACTCCATAAATTTCTTTTCATCTGAATCATATGGTGACACCTCCATAATCAGTGCTTCTTATTCTAACTTCCATGGTAGATAAAATGTAACAGAGAAAAGCTTACCAATGTGCTTATAGCAAGTCCCCAGTTGAGCTTCGAGGTGGCTGCACATGTTGCTGAGTTTGTGACCCAAGCTTGACAGCTCCCAGGCTTCTGTGGTTGCCGCTAAGTGTCTGTAACCAAAAAGAATGAGATCAAATACTCCTCAAAATTCCTGTACTATCATCCGACAGGAACTTATAACTTCGAGCAACAGCTCGTACTGCCAACGCATAGGCTTCGTAGATTGAATGTACTTACCCATGCCCTAGGCCTACGAGGCCAGTGATCTGTGATGCACAAGCCACAACACTTCGAGCTGTCCAGTAGACAGCAATGGGTATATGAGACAAAGCCGTGGATAGTGCTTCAACATCAGAAGTAATATACTGAGACGGCAGCTCCTTAAACTTAATGACACACTTGCCAACGTCCAGCATTGTTTTTATGACACTTCTCACAGCATCGAATCTCGGTTTCTGTGCATTCGAAAGCTCTAAGATCTCAGGCAACTGCTTGAGGATCGCCACTGCTTTCGCTAGCTGATTCGAGGAGTAGTTCTGTGCGATGAGCCAGAACTCTCCATAGTTCATGCCAAAAGCTGCTAATACTATCACCAACTTTGCATCCCATGAGAAGTGGGCAAGCATGTTCAGTATCGCCATTGCAGAACCATGTGCATCCTCACTTCCCGAGCATTTGCAGGCAATCTGTGGTGATAGCAGAACTAAATTAATGAAAGATAAACAATCAATCAAGATCGCCAAGGCCAAAATATTCAATCACAACCATCATAGCAAACCTCTGTAGCAACTCGATCAATCACAAAGGCCAAAGATTCAAGAGCATCCCTCATGCTGGCTTGCAGAGCTTGGTCCTCCAAGGCTTCACCATGAACTGGAGTGCCCTACGATCAAAACCCGCAACTAAACCATGAAAAAGGAACACCAATGCAAAGGAAACTATAATGCAAGCAGCAGCAGCAGCAACAAAAAGGAATTAACATCACAACCATTACCGGGCTAGCAACTGGCCCGAGAGTTGGGTCAGCATGAACAAAGATGTCCTCAACTACACGGAGTATAGGTTTGACATCGATCTCCTGCCCATCTGGAGCATGAGCAGCTTCAAGCTGCTTCATCACCGCAACATCGTCGGAGCTCGAGTACATCAGGCGGCTACCCTTGGCCGGTTTCTGCATTCTGACTGGCGCTCTTCTGAACGACATTCTTCAACAGTAAGGGCAGAGAATGAGCACAAGAAACAGTCGTTTTTAGGGCTTTTCTAACTCAATATATCCCAGCCCCTATATAATCACAATCAGAAAAGCAGAATCAACTACCTTTCTTGCGGCCTAGTTTTAGTACCATATTAGCTACAGAGCGAAGCATTGTCTCTTTTCCTGTTCCAGCCCTGAAAATTGCTCCTCGATTAATGGCTTGCTGGGGAAGAGAATTTTGAACTGAATCTCGCCTTTGCGTCCCTTGAACAGGGTTTTCCCCCGTTCTGCGTTCTTGAAGGAATCCATGAAAGCTGGGAAGAGTAGACAAATAAGAGAGGAAAGTATAAATTTTGATACTTGCTTGCTCTCTCTCTCTGTTTCTCTTTCTGTAGCTTCAATGGGGTTCCGGCGCAACAGTCGTCCATTTTGGTGGACGTGGCCACAAACTTGTGCTAACGCGCGCCGTTGCGTTGGAAGACGTCACGGCGGTCGGTCGGGTCGGGGGAATACCTCCCGTCATGGAATTGGATAAAACGGAAAAGGGGGAAAACTGTGCGTTTAAAGACTTTACCGGCAACTTGCTAATTTTGGGGCGGAACTTTGTATTTCCGTTTCGCTTCTACAGATTTTGGCTGACCTCACTGCTCATTTCTTTTGCTCCCTTGTTCCGGTTTTCTCCCGCCATCTTCCACGGCACCGACTGGGCATCTAACGCTTCTTCTCGCCGTCCGACAAACTCCCCGGCCAGGTCATTCATCCTCTACCTCTGCGTAATTGTGAATCTTGTTTTTTCCTTCTTCATCTGCTTATCAGGCATAGGCATTCATAAGGAAAAAATTGCTTCCGGAATCTGAGCAGACGGTGACGAATTCTAGGGTTTTTTTGTATTTGATGTGCTTTTCGAGAATCGGAGATCGCGGCTGCCGTTATGCTCCTTTTAGGATCGAATGCGCGTCGGTTATAAAAAATCGTTCTTCGAAAAGAACAAAACAGCGTTTTTTTCCTTTGTCTCGGCGCCAAAAATTGCGCGGCTGTGGCGCCAGGACCGGTTTCATGTGCCGGAGAATCGGAAGGGCTGGGGAGATATTGAGATTAACGGAGTTGGAGAAATTCTCTGAGCATCAGTGACTCTATTTTTCTGGACCGATGATTTTTGTTTTGTTTTCCTTTTCTTGATTGATGATTTGTGCAGTGGCTGTTGTTTCAGGATGAAAGAAACTCCAGTGAGTCGGGAGGATGCACAGACCAAAGAGGGGCCAGACTACTTTGCTTACTATGCATCTCAAGTTAAGGAGTTGATCTCACAAGAGATAGATTTCCCTTTATCAACCATTGAATCAACTGGAACTAGGACTGGCGAGGGGGTAGACCATGATGTGGTTGAGCAGCGTGGCTTCAGTGGTTCACGTTCGTTGTTCAGCAACAGCATAGGAGCTGGAGTTTCAGAGTACAAGAAGGAGAGGTTAAATGCATTGCTTCCACAGGCTGCAAGCGCTCTTAAACCCGAAGTGGATGAGGTATGGCAACCAATCGGAACGGTTTAATTCGCTACACTTTTCGCTAAGGTTCAATCTTCTTTCCCTTATGCTGTCAACTGTAGTGGATAACAGAAGGATGTGTCCCATGGTGTGCAGCGTTAATTGTCATTTTGATACTTTGCTGCTCAAGAGTCGGGATCGTCTTCATCTCTTTCCATACAATAAGTTCAGTACAGAATTGAAGCATAAAGCGTTGATCTGATACTTGAACTGTGAATATTGTAAATATCACTGTGAGTGTTTGTGTTGTGTATGTGTGTCTGTTGGTATAGTCAGAAAGTAGCATGACTTGAACCCGAAAATATCTCATGTTAGCGTATTGAAAGTTTCTATGTCTTTACTTTCTTGCTTTTCTCTGAGCACTGCCTAGTTTATATGTACTTGCATTCATATAAACTGAACCGTATTGGTATGCGGATCTACCCAGATGCTCGATCCTGTTATTTCGATGCGTCAGTTACAAGAGAAACTGTGGAACAGAGATTCTGCTGCAGGAAAGGAAGGCACAAAATCTGATGGAGAAGAGATTGCTGACAACATACCTCAGGTCTCATCTTCATCTTCAAGCAGTATCACTGCACTTGTGTGTCCTATCGATTCTAGGTCCTCTGAAGAGGTTTATCTTTCTTAACATTTCATATATTCATATTCTTTTCTCTAAAAGTAATTTTAGTATTGTTTATCTTAAGATGGGATCAGTTAACATATCTTTTCCGTGTTAGAGAACTCTGATACGTTATCTGGAAGGAGCAAAAGGTCATTGCATATCCACTGAACTGGTTCCTGTATTTCTTGTTTTAGTAAAGACTGTTCCATGGGCAATCAAGATTGCCTTGGTCTTTTTCGAAGATGGAGCTATTTGAGGCCATGAAGTTTCAGATTCTTTGTTTGCATTTGTTGTTTAGACCATATCCATCCATATCTGTCTGCTTTAGATGTTTGTGTCTCCTGACCCATCGATGAATGGGGCAACCATTTTACAGGGGGATGATGATCTGGAATTCCTACTTGGGACTGACAGCACTCTGGTTGAAGAGAGTATAAAGAAGTATTCTGATGAATTATTGTCAACTGTAAGTTCTACAAAAGTTTGGCTTCTCTGCCATCTAGGCCATCCTTTGTCGACCTGTGGCTTAATGTCAGTATAACTGGATAAGTTTCATACTCCAATTGCTGATAATAGATAGCTGAAACTGACTTGTTCTCAGCTAGCCCACATGGAGAAAAAACTCGAAGAACTTCTCGACTCTGTAGCTTCTACTTGCAGGTATCTGCGTTCATGCTACACATAAAATTAGGTTGCTTCCTTTCTTATTGTCAAAATTATATGAGCAAGTTCAGAATCAAATATAGAGAACATAGCTTCACAATCTAGATTTTGATCACATTGTCTGAAGTTCGCAACTTGAATCTTATATAGACCCATGACCAGCACAGAGAAGCAGCAGCTTCAAAGGATGATCCGGAACCTGCCACCAGCAAATTTTGATCGCATAGCTGATATCGTCCAGCGCCACAAGCCGATAGAAGCGCAGCAATGTGAAGAAATCGTTGTTAACATGGAGCAGGAGGTAAGTAAGAAGTTATAGCTGCTAAATGATGTTATATTCTTTTGTCAGAATGGTATTGACACTTCTCCTTTCTTTCCAGGATACTACTACACTCTGGAGGTTGTATTACTATGTTCAAGTAGTGGAGCGCGCTAAGAAACTCGTACCATAAGCAGCTGTTATTGTCTTCCCGCTAGCTGAGAATCCTTTTGAGAGTGTCCAATTCTTGACTGTTCATAACTTGATAAATAGGTATGATAAAATTTGAAACTATTTCTGGGAGGTTGCTGAAAGCCATTTCTCATATTTCCTTTGCATCATTGCATTCTTGTTTGTGACATCTTACTGGAGATCAAACTAGTGACCAACGGTTCAATATTTAATGCCAAAACCATGCTGAACCATATAATAGCGTTACAAAACTATGACATATATCTAACCATCGGTTTATTCATAAACAGGTTTGAAATTCTTGTAAGCAATGACAGCATAGAAGGGATCTTTTGACGAACCGGACAATAATTCGAGCAACCCCATGTACCATGGCCTCTCTCCTTCTCCTCCCTTCCTGCCACCAGGTGATTTCCTGACGACCTCAGCCCCAGTGAATCCTACCACAGACTGGAAATACTGTACCACAAGCTGCACTCTGCTGTAGTCACTGCCATCTCTCCACGAAGTAATAGCCTTTTCATAGAACATTCGATTGCTGAAACTCACTATGAACACTCCTCCTGGTCTCAGCGCTCTGAACACTTCGGCAAAAACCTGAAAATGTATTCATACACAAGAGAGAGATGTGTTGAGTGCAGTTTTGGTGGCTAATTTTGGTAGCATCTTTAGTCATTGATCAGACATTATTTCTTCGTCTTATGTTTCTGTGCCCAAATATATTCGACATTTGAGTGTAATCATGTATATGCACACAGGGTTAATACTGATTTCGTCGTTGATCTTGCTTATGTCAGTTCAGCGTTCGATGTCACACACACGACCAAATATATTCAAGTATCTACCTGCTCTGGATACTGCAGATATTGGACGCTGACAGTGCACAAAACAGCATCAAAGCTCGAGCTCTCGAGCTCGAGCCTCTGGTCCCGATTAAGATCCTTTACGAAGAAGTAATCCAGACGAGGATTCCTCGCAAGCTCCTGGGCGTTAAGCCCGTGACCCACCACTCTCTTGAACTCCATTTCTTCTGGCAGATGGCTGACCCACGAGCTCATCAGGTCAAGAACCTCCGACCCGGATTGCAGCCTCCGCCTGTAGAGCTCCGTCAGCGCCGAGATGAACCCACCATCGACGTGAGTGACGAACCTCGGGTAGGCGTAGAAGTCCCTGTCCGATCTCAGGTCGAGCTTACCCCGCCCCTGCTGGGTCAGAACCTGGCGCCTGATTTTGCCCGGTTGAGACCTGTTGTCGTCCTCTTCGCTTGCATTCGTGGTGGAGGCTGAAGCTCTCGGAAATTTCAGCCGTGGAGGGGTGTTTTTGTGGGGGAAGGCCATCGCCGGCGGTGACAGCGAAGGTGGCTGCCATGGGCGGAGCATTTTTTTGGTGGGAATTGAGTTCCCGGGAGAATTGTGTGATGGGAAAATGATAACAGTTGAACGGCGGTTAGAGGAAGGGACCATAGGCCCAACTAAGGATGGGCTTTTATGGCAGGCCGGATACAAGTTCAGGCCCATGAACTGGATCCATTTTGTTCGAATATTTCTTCTTTTTCTCTCCTTTCGCCACCTTTGATCTGCCACTGCGAAAAAGCTGCAATCTTTGGACTTTTTTACGCGCGCCATTATCAGATTCTCCCCCAAATTACTTTCATTTTCCAATTGATTCGTAGCTCTCTTTAGTTCAATTTGTGCCTTCCTTACTGATCATCCATCCGCTACTGTTGTTTCTCCAGGTTTGTTTCAGTGAATTATTTTAGAAAAATTCAGTATTTTCCGGCTGGTTTCTTCTTCGGATTGTGTAATTATTCTCTCATTTGTCGATTTAGGGTACTGGGTTCTATTCTCCCTTCTGTTTTCTGGTGGAGGGTGGACGAATTTGTGTTTTGGGCTTTTCTAGAACTGCACCAAATCTTCACCTCCAACTTTTGGTGATGGCTGACATGCCTAGCAGAGCATTGGTGTTGTACGGTGATGGATTGGCTAATTTTGTTGATTCATCTCACGTCCATCTCCACTCGCTTGCATCTAAAGCTTCTTGTGGCTTCCTGAGCCTCCCTAATGCCCCTCCATCAGGTTCAATTTCACTCGACCCTTCCATTTTTTTTTTTTTTTTTGTTTGTCATCCCCTGCTGATGAAGGAATTTCTGTATTCATGACATTAGATAGGGGACTTGAAATTGCTGTATTTGTTGCGTGCATTACGCTTCATTTGATTTTTCAAAGATTGAAAATTTCTAATTTCATGGTGGGAACATAGGTTTGGAGATTCGAATGTACTGGTTTGCATTCTGGTTAAAGCTATTGGTATTGTAACTGTCTGAGACTTTTCTGGTATTGGGAGTGCAGAAACTGAGGATGAGAGGATAGTTAGGGAATTCGCTTTGCTTATGGACTCTTGGGATGCCGCTTACAAGGGCACGGTATGATCTCTGGTCTTGGAATTCTGTCACTTCAATGCTGCAAAGGGTTTAGTGACAAATTGTTGGTTTTTTCTTTCAGAATAACGCCTCAACTCCATCCATTTCAGATAGGTATCGTAGCATTCGATTTACAATTTCCAATTCATATCAAAATACTTAATACTAAATCATGTCAAAAATACCCGTGTTTGCCTCTTGCTCTTCAGGTTCATGGGAATGAAGGCTGCCATAGTTACCAAGAACCCTTCTTTGAAATCTTTTGGTGTTAAACTTGGCTTCACTTTACTGCCATCGGATGATGTTTCGTCGGATTCTATGGGTTTAGAGTTGATGAAGCTGCTGGGGTTTCAACAAGGAAATGTGGCAGACACTAATCAATTTGATCTAGTGTTTGTGCACATGGGTGCCGGGGAAAGAGAGGGTGGTGATAAAGACGATTTTGGTGCCAAGACTGTTGCTTTCATTGATTCTCTAGTTGCTGCAATAATGAATGCAGCACAACCTGGTTCAGCAATTGGCTCACGTCTACACTTGTCACTTGTGATGAGCTATGGATCCGTTTCAGAGATCAACAGTGCTGAAACTTCGGTTTTGATTTCGAATAATGAGCTGAATCCCAAGCTTTTGGGGCTTTTTCCTCGACAGAGTTACACCATGAGAGGGGAACAACCCCGACCTGATGTCAGGTACGAACATGGAAGTTTAAAACACGTCTGACAGATTTTTCTAGTTTCTTGCCCTTGTGAGTTAATCATTATATTTTATCTAATCTGCATTCATTAGGCACAACGGCCCAATGTTAGTTGCTCAATTGCAATATGCTGTGACCCGAATGGACAAAGCGCAAGTGTTTGCTTTTAAAGATTTCAAAGAGGTATGTCTGCTGTTACTTTGGTTTTAGAACGTTACTTGATTATCTGTTTCCAGCTTTCCTTATTGCTCAACATTGCATTGCCTCTTAGCTTTTGGATTGCCTTAGGTTTGTTAGAATGGCTAGTGTCCTGTAAACGTCATGGCTTCATTTTGCAAGTTCATTTTCCAAACTAGTGCTGCGTGCATGCACTCTGGCATAGTCCTCGTTTGGGTGTGTCTAAGCATATGTTTGTTGGCATCATAGCACCATAGTTCTGAACCTACACCGTTTTGAGTTCTGGTAGGATATTGCGATGAATGTCCCATGTTTAAGCTTGATGTTTCTTTGTTTTGCAGCATGGTGGAAACCTCGTAATACCAGCTGATCGGTTTCTCCATGAAGTTGCATTTAAGCTGTGGAAGGCTCCAAAATATGGAGCTTGATCTGGGCTTCCCCTCCCAATTCCAGTTGTTAGTCATATGACATCCCCAGTGCCTTTAACATAAGGATCTTAGTTTAGATATGCTGTACTTTATTTGGTCATTTGCTGATGCATCCTGTTCTTGTAACTAGGGGTGGGCATTGGGTGGGTCGGGTGGATTTTGACCATAAAATGCACCCACCCGCGCTTAAACGGATTGATAATTTTTAACCCACCACCCACCCACATTTAGTCTCGGGTTGGGTCGGGCGGATGGTGGATGATGCGGGTGGGTTTGTGGGTTCACCCACATCACAACGTATATAATATAAAGGAGTCAACTTGACATGATAATAGGTGAAGAGAATCATCGAGGGAAACAAGAAGTTGAAATAGGGCGAAAAATGTCAAATTAGTTCTTAAATTAAATAGAAATTCTATTATGAAAGAGTTTTCTACAGATTGAGACGATTATTAGGTGCAAGGAACTAAGTAAAATAATTACACAAAGGAAAGAGCGGTGATCTAGGCACAAGAATTAGAGGAAAAAGTAAAGGGAAGAAGAGGGGATCTCTATTTGGAAGGTTGGCTTTGAGGTTCAAAGTCCAGGAGCAGTCCGAGTTTATATCTAACGTCTCCACTCTCCTCTCTCTAGCGCCAAAGACGTTGATCTTTTTGTTGTTGGGTTGAGCGGGTCACCCGCACACTCACCCACAACCCACCCACCACCCGGCGGATGGCTCCCAGCGCAACCCGTCACCCGCCCACAGACCCACCCACTTAACAAAATTCGTGGGTCGGCCCAAACCCGCGAATGATCCGCCCGCATGCCCAAGCCTACTTGTAACCAATAACTGCTCACAGAGTTCAAAAGAAGGAATTCAAATTAGAGTATCGAAGCAAAATCACATTATGCTTTGAGAAGATCCATTTCCATGGTACATGGTACTCATTCATCATCAAACAAATATGCAAAGAGGAGGAGGAGGAGGAGGAGGAGGAGGAGGAGGAGGAGGAGGAGGAGGAGGAGGAGGAGGAGGAGGAGGAGGAGGAGGAGGAGGAGGAGGAGGAAGAAGAAGAAGAAGAAGCCACATAATTTTGCACCATAGAGTTAAGGAAATTCTATCCTTAAACCCAAATTGTTTTTTTTTTGCCATAGCCTTAACCCAAATTGGTTACGCATATGCTTTCAAGAGGAGTGATGTGCAATGTTATGTTAGATAGGACGCTAGAGATGGACATGATCCAATTTGGTATAAATTTGAATTGAATTGATATAAGGACCAAATGCAAAATAAGGAGATGGAAACCAAATCAAAAGCACGTTTGAACCAATCTGGTCTCGATTAGGCGATTTTATTTGTATTTAATGGGGTTGCAATGAAATTTTGAACAAAAGATATGATGGATTTGGTGGCATTATGGATTTGACCAAGTCTATTGTTTGCTTGTTGGATTTGATTATAGATTTTGTTTGAATAGATTTGTGGATATGAAATTCAAATTACCTTGTTACCCTTATCTTATCTAATTATATTTCTATATTATAATCCATAAATTTCATTAAAAAAATCTAACGCATACAATGAAATTTTAAACTATTTACCACTATGTGGACTAATAATTCAACTACAAATATAGAAATGTATTATAGTTTGGCACCAATTAACAACTCATCTAATAATGTACGCAATATTATGTATCAATTGCAACCAATTGCTCGCTTTATTGCTACAACTCATCAACTTCTTGCTAACTCCCCGATTTTGGAATCCGACAATCAATCAAATAATAATGCACAAGACGAGCATAAGATGTTTATAGTTGAATCTAACAAATCACATATACATTCATATTTAAATAAACTATGATATTACAAAACGAAATGAAAAATTCTCATATATATAAAATACGACATTATAAAAGTTTATAATTGCATGACCATTGAATTAAAGTAGGACAACTTTGTAATTAAAGTAATAAGTAAGGGTAGAAAGGTAATTTACCATCATGGATTTTAATCCATCACCCAAATCCCACCTCAAGAGGTGGAACTTCCAAGTCCGTGGGGTCCACGGATTTGGAACCCCAAAAGCGGCGGGACCCACAAATTCCATCTCCCTAATTCCCTAAGGCAAACGATGGATTTCCGTTACAGCTTGTTTGGATATAATTCTGTTGGAAAATGAATTCCATTTCTTGTGAGAATCTGAATTCAATTGAGAATTCATTTTAAAATTTTATGTTTGGAACAAATCCAAAAGTTTGGGAAATGATTTCATGTTTTTATGTTTGGAAAAAATGGAAATGATTTCTTACAAGTGCTTTTACAATAATATCCTTGGTATTAGTGATTTCAAATCCAAAAGTAGTAAGGGCTTTCTTGTAAAGGTGAGTCAAAATTAATGTGGGGTCCACTAATTCCATCACTCCCTCCACCAATTCCGACCACTTTTGGTAGGAATTAGAATTTCCAACTTTTTGCCTTTTGGAATTTCATTTCCTTTTTACTTTTTACTTCCAAACATGAGAATCATGGAAAGTTTGGGAATTGGAATTCCATTTCCTCAAAATTTAGCCTTTCCAAACAGGCTGTTAAAGTCCATGATGGATAGATTTCCATGACCAAATCCATCACCAAAACCCTCAAGCAAATAACCCGTATGTGTGTACAAGTCGTTTGATTGAGGAATCGTACATTTTATTGGTTCGGTGACATAATAGCTGGCAACTCCATATATTTAACAAAATATCACCATATTGTATAGAATTGTATGTGTTCTAGAAATGCCAAGATGAGATTCTGACCAATTTAGAGATTTCTAAATTTACATTGCATGAGGCAAACTATAGGGACAAGTTCAATGCCTCTTCAAGTCCTTAGCAACCACTTTCTTCACGAGGCCCTTAATCGAGTACTTACAACAACACGATCCCACCAAAGTCCAAACCACCAAATCATTTGACATTGCACGAGTGCCATACTCAAAACAACTTAAAGCCAAACCAAATTCCCCATTTTTTCTTGCCTCCTCACTCCTTTTTGTTGAAACCATAAGAAAGAGGACCCGACAATGGTAGGAAGAAACGAAACAAGGGAGGGAAAGCACAATCATGACAACAGACGTACACAATATTTTATGATCCATGAAGCTACATGCGGTTATACAATAGGTTGACAATTTTCTTTTGGTCGGACTTGCATTGAAGTCATCCCCATCAAACACAAGCATATAGCCAATAACTTTGCGTTTGTTTTAAGTGGGGTTTTCTTCTATGGAGGGTTAGGGTCATTTGACTCAAAGTTGCAAGGAATTTTCAGTTGTTGTGTTGAGATTGGTTTCCGTGGTGGAGTTAGAAATTTGAATGAGGAGATTAACTTAAATCATGATAATTGGGAAAGGGAGATTAAGGCCTTATAAACTACTATATTTTCTAAATTTGTTATGAATTATATATAGAATTTTATCAATATTCAAATTTGATAGAGGGCTATAGCCCTTCCTGACTTCAAACTACATAGTATAATGCAATGAATAGGATTCAAAGGTCTAGTTTGTTGAGTTGAAGATGAGATCAAGTCTCCACTTTATGCCTTATAATTTATTTAACTTTTATCTGTTAACATTTTCTCTAGATTATCTATCTTTTGTGTCTTATATTATGCAATAACCTTTGACATGAGAGTCCAGAACATGTGTCGTTCTCACTTCTCCATAGATTTTGTTTGCATAAAAACAAAAAAACAAAAGATCGTCTGAATATATAGGTTGAATCGAAATTCAAAATATATTGTGATTGGATATCTTAAGTGATATGACCAATACTCATTTCTTCTTTCTTTTTAATGATGTCGATTTTTGTTTATAGTAAAATTATTTTATCGTGCCACGGGAATCAATAAGGCTAGAAATCGTACTTTATGTGTACATGACATGCATGCACTATATATGCACCCACATGATACATTATTCCAAAAGGAACTTATCACAAAAATCGTACTCTCTTAAGTAGTATCCTACCTTCATAATAGTTTCATGTACTTGGAAATACTTTTTTGGTAAGAAATTTTCACTTGGATATGATAAACACCTCACACTGTCAATTTATTAAATTCTAGCTATATATATCCAAAAGAAAAATGTACACAATGGATACTCCAAATCCTTAAAATAAAGTATCTACTTAATTTCTCACACTTTGAATACCAATTGATTCCATTCCTAACTACACGTTCTGTGACCTTTTATGTACTTAGACCCGAAAAAATAGACACTATTTTTTCCTAATCAATTCACATTATCATCAAACTCTTTTCTTAAATAATCCAAAATCTATCACCAAACTTTCCTTAATAACAAACATATATAAATTTCTTGCCCCCTTTCAAAGGGGAGACACAAACAGAACAGAAGGACCACAAGTTGTAGTAGCGACAAGTGAGAGAGAATTTCTCTTGTTCCAATTTTTCTGAATCTCAAAATGGATATGATGCCTCTTGATCTTCCAACACTCTTTCCTCTCCTTTTAGCCCTTTTAGCGACGGCTTTACTCCTTCTCCGTCGCCAAAAACACCCCAAGAATGTTTGTTGTAATGTCCCTAAAGGCACCATGGGATGGCCCTTCATTGGAGAGACTCTCGAGTTCCTCAGCCCCCATAGATCCAACTCCATTGGCACCTTCCTACAACAACGTTGCTCGAGGTAATAATTCCAAAAGCCATGATTATTGTCATATCATCAATTGAAAAATAAACACCATCAATTTCCATTAGGGTCGGTCAAAAATGTGATATGTGGTGTGGAGATTTTGAGGAGGCGAAGGTAGGCAAACACATATTATGAATCATATTAATTGACTATGGGATGGAATGATTTTTGGATAGGGCAACCACACACATATGTGTTTTACTCTCACAATTGTGAGTAGGCTGTGTAGTATTAATCTCAGTCACCATGATTTTAGTTTTTTTATTTGTTTGTGCAGATATGGCAAAGTTTTTAAGTCACATTTGTTCGGGTCGCCAGCTATAGTGTCGTGTGACAACGAGTTCAACATGTTCATCCTTCAGAATGAGGGAAAGCTATTCCAGGCCAGCTACCCTAAGGCCATGCAAGGGATTCTCGGGCAGTACTCGTTGTTGATCGTCTCCGGGGAGCATCACAGGAAGCTTAGGGGGATCGCAGTGAGCTTCAGCGCGATGTCCAAATCTTCACCTGTGTTTCACTCTCGTATTGAGAAGCTCGCATTCTCAATGTTGGAGTCGTGGAGAGGGCGCAAAGAGATTGCCTTTCTCGAAGAGATGAAAAAGGTAAAAAAAAAAAAAAAAGTAAATTCCACAGCGATTAATATTGATCATGGATTCCATTTTTCTGATTGATCTCTCTAAATTTTTTTGGTTACAAAATCTTCTAAATAATGGTTTTTCAGTTCACTTTGAGTTTGATGGTGAAAACCGTTTTGAGCATCGACCCGGAAGAACCAGTGGCCATGAGGTTTTTGCAAGATTTTAGAACTTACATGAAAGGCTTCATATCCTTGCCACTAAACGTTCCAGGATCTGCTTATGCCAAAGCTGTCAAGGTAACAACCCCCAAAAATACTGTGTTTTTAACGAGTAATCCAATTGCAACTAAAACTAAGATTTAGAGTGTTCTTAGGTGGTTAACCAAAAGGAAAAACGACAAGATGCGAGATTTGTGCAAATCTTTTCAACTTTCAGTAACGAGGAATCTTTGTCTTATCTTATTCAATGAGCATGTAGAAAAATAGAGAAATTATACCACGAGAGAAAACATAGAGATCATGACTTGACGTTGTATGCGGGAAACCACAGAAGAAAACATCCACTTTGAGATTCAGTCACTCTATTTTTAAGATTCAATATTGATTCAAATTGACTCGGCACATACTAATTTAATTGCTCGCATTTTTATGGTGTCGAGAGATCTCGTATATGAAATTATCGGAATTTCTTATCAATTAATCTGTTATTCGTGTTTTTATGATGAATAAAAAACAATTGACCAAACACAACATATAGTTGGATTGTGACCAATAACTTAATCTACTCGAACTATTGTAACAAATTTGATTTTCGCACTACGAAAAAGACAGTTCCTAGTGACGAGAGTTTAGTGACCACAATACCAAAATTCTCGAATAAAAATGACTTTTTATATGATAAAATGTAAGTTGTAAATACCGTCTATATTTATTGTGATAACAATACGTGTGGTCGGTAAAGATTGGATTAGGATTAGCGAGGGGAAGTTGCGGTGAGTAATGACCTTTTATTTTTAGTCTCTCTAGGTAGGTAGGATGCTGTAATTATACTAACCAAACGCCCGATTAATGTAATTTTTACAGGCGAGGGCAAGGCTTTCGAGGACGGTCAAGGAGATAATAAAGCAAAGGGAAATGACGAATACTACGACGACCTCGTCGGGAGAGGAAAATGGGGACTTTTTGGAAGTGATATTGTCGAAGCACAGCAGCATAAGGCAAATGAATGATGACGAGAAAGTGAGCAGTGTTTTGGACATTGTCTTGGGTGGCTACGAGACCACTTCCACCCTCATTTCCCTCGTCGTCTACTTCCTCCACCGTTCACCCGCCGCGCTCCTAGCTTTCAAGGTACACGGTCTCGACAATTCGAATTATTGAAAACCAAGTATATATGGGGTTTATCAAAATATGTGTGAGAATATCAATTATATTAGAGGGCTAGTTATGGGTTGGATAAATCATGAATCATTGAACCATGTTTTCATAGTTTGATATTTTAGTAGAAACAACAAATGGGTGGGTTGGGGTTGGTTTGGTTCAAGGTTGGTTCGTTAGTGTTGCAAGTTAATTAGGCCAAGTGTTCAACCAGGTTATAGATAAATCAAATTAAGGGGGTGAGTCGGGTTATAAGTTGATCGGATTACAATTCCCTAAAAGTTGGGCCAATTGCGTTTCGCTAATGGGGTTTTCCCCAACTCATATGGCAATTGGATCAAACCGGTCAATTTGTTACCGTCATAACTCGATAACAATAACTATTAACATTGTGTATGATATGGAATTGTTGAAACGTGTGCAATATTGCAGGAGGAACATGAAGCTATAAGGAGGAACAAAGGCAAAGGGCAGCCCTTGGGGTGGGAGGATTACCAGAAAATGGACTTCACCCGCAATGTAATTATCAATATTTTTATTATAATTACACTAATTAATTCCTGGAGTATTGTCTGCAATATTCCCTTTGATTTCATCCTCTGTATATTTAATATTATTGATCCAATATTTTGTGACTGGCTGCATGTATGTAGGTGACGAAAGAAGCTGTGAGATGTGGGAATCTAGTCAAATTTTTACACCGCAAGGCACTCCAAGACGTGGAATTCAAAGGTTGGTTAATGTTTAATAGTTGATGTAGATCATCATTTACCAAAAGACTCGTATATAATTTGGCAAAACCTTGGGGACTCAATGGTTGGATGTCAAAAAAAAACTTTTTAAATTAATAATATATTTTTACGCTCGCAGGGCATTTGATTCCTCGTGGATGGAAGGTGCTTCCTGTATTAGCAGGGCCAAATCTCGACCCGTCTCTTCACCATGACCACCTTCAGTTTAATCCTTGGAGATGGACGGTAAATGCCCTTAGATTTTCACCTCTACTCACAATACATACTAGCTACTATATTGATCGATGCATGGTTTGATCTAATTTTCAATATGTTCATTTTATAATCTTTGGTGTTCAAAATTAAACTCATGCATAGATCATAACTAACACATGTTCGAATTAGAATACCTTATTTTGATATCATTATAATTCATTCCTTGGTCTATCATCTTAATCACTATTATCATATGTTTGATGTTTATTATTTTCTCTTTTGGATTATATATAAAAGGAGGACAAAGAAATAGGGAAGAAGACTATGGGGTATGGTGGTGGACCAAGGGTGTGTCCAGGATCCGACCTAGCTAAGGTCATGGTTGCCTTCTTCCTTCATCATCTTGTCCTCGCCTATAGGTACGTAATTAATTAACCCCCCTTCTCTTAATTAATCTAATTTCTTCAACTTAATTTATATTGCTACTCTAGACACATTCATTTTTGTCACGATTAGGGAATGACTTACCTTTATTCCTTTGGTGGTTTAGTACATCTAATCATTACTTATATGACCCACATCTTGTACCTCTAGCTACTATTTATGCTTATATCACTTAGCAGCATGAATAATTGTGTAGGTATCATGGTGTTCGTTTGTTGTTGTTCTAGCTAGTTCTATTAGATATTTCAAATGCTTTTGTTGTTGTTCTTATTCATGCTATAATATGTTTATTTCTAAACGTATAGGTGGAAAGTGAAAGAAGATGAGTACCCAATTGCTTATCCGTATGTGGAGTTTCGAAACGGACTTCACGTGGAGATTGAGCCGGTAGAATCACATGTTTAGATCGAGGATTAGGCATACAATAGAAAGAGACTATGTACATTAGTTTCGGTATGTGGTATTAATTCGAGTTTTTACCCTAAGTTTAATTCTCTTAGAGAAAAATAATTGTAATTTTCTATAAATTGTTTGATAGATGCATCTTGAAGTATGTAAACCAAAGCTTTTTCCTGTTTTAGCCGTGCTTTTGTACATTTTCTTTATATGGGAGTTTGATTTATTTTTGGGAAAACAATCGACATATTTTTGTTTCTATTTCTAATTTTCTTGAATTTAAAGGTTGATTAAACATAATATGTAACATATATAATTTCTTAGAGGTTAGTGCCACAAATATCATTTATTTATAGATGGCCAGCTCATTAAGTATTGATTTTTGTGATGTACATTCCATCCACAATTTGGTATGAGAAAAATAGGCTAGGAATATTGTCGTATTGGTCCAAATTATATGATCATCCCAATTACATTGATTTAGTAATTAGTATGGGGCATCATATGGGCTGCAACATAACACAATCTAGCTTGCTTTTCACAGGCCACGATAAAAAAAAAAATCCACGTCCGTGGATATTCGTTGAAATTCGATATGCGGTCGAGTTTTTTCAGATCGGTTGAGAGACCAAAAAAGTTGTGACCGAACTTGAATGACCAACGAGAAATAGGAAACACATGCTTAATATAATCGAGTATACGAAGTATTGGTCGGTGAGACTCTAATAAATGTATAATGGCTCCACTATTAACCAGAGCCGCACATGTGATATTTTTACGTGAATATTTTTGTATATGAAATGAAATGCTTGATTTGTCTACGGAATTATGATTTTGATCTCTCTTTCCAAGCAACTACACAAACTTGGATTGAAAGTTTTTTTTAATAATAAAATTTGGATTAAAACTTAAAAACAACATTTACTTTACTCAATGATTGTCAAAACTCAGAACTATTTTGACCGTCCAGCCCATATAAAGGAGGAAGAAATAAGAGCATGGCCATGGCCCATCGGCCTTCTGGTGCAAGTCCAGCCCATACAGGAGAACTTGATTGAAACAAATACTAAATACAGATATCAATCGTAACCTCCCAAAACTAATAGGCACTCAAATTGAATATTTTCCCAAACACTTTTCTTCTTTGCCAATCCAGCTTCTTAACCCATTAAAGACCAAAGAAGAAAACCCCGAGAGCTCGATCCTTTCTTTTCCCCTTCTCAGGCACGCCTCCGATCGCCCTAACTTCACTTCACACTTCACCGGTTAGTTTGCTTTGTCCTCCTTTTCCATTTGCGTTGTTTTGGTTTTCTTCTGAATCCCTAATTTTCTTTCTCATGTTTGGTTTCAGTTCGTTAGTCGTCAGAATGTCGAGTTCGTCGATTGTGGAGGCGCCGCCGAAGGGTGGGTTCAGTTTCGATCTCTGCAAGAGGAATGAAATGCTCTCCGGGAAGGGCGTCAAGCATCCGAATTACAGGAAGACGGGAACCACCATTGTCGGCTTGATTTTCCAGGTTTGTCGTTCTTGCAACGCTCGTCTCGTGGTATTTGGTTCGGACTCCATTCAATTTTTTAGCTGGAAAGATGGGAGTTTTTTTATGCTTAGGGTTGGTTTGATTTGAGCTGATTTTAATGGGTTGCCCTCCTAGTCACTTGATCTAGTTGTGCTTTATTGAACCTTTGATCTTCTTTTAGTGTTTGCTATAGCCATGTGAGTGTGAATTTTTGTTGTTGATTCTCATTGCTAGAATGCATCAGGGATATTTGAGGATTGAGCGGTGAACATGCTCAAGAGAGATTCTCTCTTTGTTTGATTTCTCTAATTTAAGCTGGTGTTGCCACCCTTCAATTGGTGTATAGGATGGTGTCATTCTTGGAGCAGATACTAGAGCTACTTCTGGACCCATCGTCTGTGATAAGAATTGTGAGAAGATTCATTTTATGGCGCCTAACATTTACTGCTGTGGAGCAGGAACTGCTGCCGATACTGAGTCGGTGACAGGTATGTTTTCAGTTGTCAAAGTTGTTAATGCCTGATCGCTATATAAGTCTTCTTCTCCATTAGCTCTTCAACTACCCCAGTTTAATGTGTGGCTTTGGATTGATTTTTTGTGTAGACATGGTGAGTTCGCAGCTGCAGTTGCATCGTTACCATACTGGCCGAGAGTCGAGGGTTATTACAGCACTTACTCTCCTGAAGAAGCATCTTTTCAAGTAACCTGTCTTCGACATTGAACTCTTTCTGCTTTCTGCAATGACCTTTTTTTAAGGCAAGTGAGTTTCTTATTCTGCCTGCACATTGTTCTTCAGTTACCAAGGTCACATCTCTGCTGCTTTGGTGCTTGGTGGTGTTGATTGCACTGGGCCTCATCTACACACGGTGAGTCTTCTTCTGTTCAGCAGAATGTGCATGGCATTCTTTTTCATATGACTTGTGAGGAGACTTGATGACGTATTAACTTCTGTCCTTTGCAGATATATCCCCATGGATCAACAGACACTTTGCCTTTTGCCACAATGGGTTCTGGTTCTCTTGCTGCAATGGCTGTGTTCGAGTCGAAGTACAAGGAAGGCCTGAATGTAAGTTGTGTTAATGCGAGGTGTATATACCAATTTTTACAAGCAATTAGCAGTTGCATATAATTACTGGTTACCCTACTATAATCTTGATCACTTAAAACTTACTGAGTTACTCATTATATTTTCAGAAGAAGGAAGGAATAAAGCTTGTGACTGAGGCCATATGTTCTGGTATATTCAATGACTTGGGAAGTGGAAGCAATGTTGATGTTTGTGTCATTACAAAGGTGGGCAAATTATTACCTGATATATTTCAGTTTCTAGGACGATCCTTCAGTTTGTACCAATTTAACTTTGTCCTAAATGGTTGTGGAACAGGGGGAAAAAGAATACATGAGAAACCACTTAAAACCCAATCCACGCACATACGTCAGTGCGAGGGCATACACCTTCCCCAAGAAGATAGGTTGGTATCATTATCCCTACTTCAACAAATAAGCATATAGCACTATCTGGAGCCATGTGCTTCAAATTCTTGTTTCCGCTCTTCATTGAAACAGATTAGAATTTGGAACAGTTTCTCCTATCGTCTCAGAGTCTGCATGCTAGTTTCATTTTGTTATTCTCAAATTGGGTGGTGACATGTGAAACTTAAACCTTGATTTGGTGACCTGGATGTTGTGATCTAAGCAGCTGTTCATAGCCCTTTTTTTTCCAAGTACCATGGTATGGTTATATTACAAGTATGTGCAAGCTATAAGTACTGGTACTTGGTGTAACTATGCGTCTATCACAATCCCATCAGGATTTTGAGTTTTTCCGAAAATCATGTTCAACTACTATTCATGCTGAAATGGAAGGAACCCTTCTATGCCTGGTTGAATGCGATCTGAGTTATTTTTACTGATTTCAAATCACTTATAATTTACATACTGCTATTGATATGTGTTGCAGAGGTCCTCTCAACGAAGATTACCCCACTGAAGGAGTTAGCTCAAGTGGTTGAGGCTGGTGATGCTATGGAAGAGTGAAGGACAGAATGACAGAGCTTTGTTTGGAGATCACTGTACTTTTACCGATTAGTTTCGAGAACTTGAGGACCCAATGTGATGTCGTTATCGCTGAATTGCAAATGCTCGGGGATCTTTTGGAGACTGTTTTATGTGATGAGTATGTAGCATCTTTATTTTCAGTTCTCTTGTTCTCCGACTCTCTTGAATTTAGTTGGAGAATGATGAAATGGACTCGAGAAACCAAGGTGGAGGTTCTATTATATCTTTGGATCAATTTCTAGGATGTTCATTTCCAAGTGCATCCATAGCATGCATTTGGAGCTACATTTTCAAACTGATTAGCATAGAAAAATTGTCTAGTTAGTCTTATGCAATCGCAAGCCGAGATCAAGAAGTGAGTATCCTCAACCATTTGGTTTTCGATATTGATTCATTATGCTCTCTAAAAGTAAAAGCTTATCGATCCACAAAGAAAAAGAAAACCAAATTTAACTTCTAACAAATTTGTTATTGTCATGGAGAAATTAGTATCAGTCAAACCAATTTCACTCCACATTACGCTAGTTAGTGATTGCAATTTGAACCCGCCTCGCGGCTATTACCGACCTTACCCGCAATTGGGCGGATATTACCCGACCCACACTAGCATGTGGCGGGGCATGAGTATCTACTTTCGACCCGCCGTGCCTCGTCCCGCCTGGTTCTTGGCCCATCCTATCTCAATTTCTTACAAAATCTATGCATATTTCTCCTCTTTTGACTTTTTTTCAACTAGTTATAGTCGATTTTTCAACTGGTTAGATTCAATTACTCATTCTATTATCACTATTTTTCATTCATGAAGTGTTTTCTCCTTCGTTTTATCGTAAAAAATGAATTAGTGTGTTTTTTTTTAAATAACATATGAGAGTGGATCGACCCGTCTCGTTCTATTACCTCCCGTAATAGCGTGGGGCGGGACATGGGTATTGAGGTACCCGCCCCACCCCGCCCCATTGGCCATTGCCATGGTTCCCGATGATGCTGCTTGAGATGAACTTGATGCGTTTGTTAAGAATCGAAGTTTAGCCACCAATAGCAAACCCAAAAAACTTTTGATGACCATTTATATAATTAACCAATCAACTTCTTTCCCGGGGAAAAGAAACTGGCTGGAAACAAATTCTGACGTGGCAAGCATTCATAGGTCATCACACCGACTTGCCTCTATCTCATTGGCCAGCCTACACAACTACACGTATTACCCAAAAAGCAAGTCGTTTTGGGTCCCGGTTCGACTCACTGACTTGACTCACCACCACCATCAGCAAGCAAGCAGACTCCCCGAGTTTCAGGAGACAAAGTTCCCCTCGTCCATTGTTTCCCAATTCCCACCGCACCAAAGCTTCAACCAGTAGCAGTAGAAGGAGAAGGAAGGAAGATCTCCAAGCCGGTACCTTAGGACTTTCGCCGACGACGGTGGTCGGAGAGATCCAGCCTCTCTCCCTCGTTTCTCCTCGTAATGGCGCACCGAGCAGTGAAGCTCTTCTTCTTGCTATGCGCACTGTCTTACGCTCTCGTCACCATTGCCGGGTACGGTTCTTTTAGTAGCCTCTCCCCAATTTTTTTCGTCTGAAATCAGCTGTGGGGAAATCAAATTTGATGATTTTGGATTTTGAGATGTCGCAGGAAGAGCTACTACGATGTGTTGCAAGTGCCCAAAGGTGCGTCGGACGATCAGATCAAGCGAGCTTACAGGAAGCTGGCGTTGAAGTATCATCCCGATAAGAACCAGGGGAATGAGGAAGCTAATAAGAAATTCGCAGAGATTAGCAACGGTATAGATTGGATTTGGTGGACATTGTACTCTCTGTATCCATCTGCTCTTTTTTCAGATTGAAATTGGTTTGCTTGAATCTTGAGCGATTTTGTATTCCCCTTGGTTTAGCTTATGAGACGTTGTCCGACGGCGAGAAGCGGAAGATTTACGATGCTTATGGGGAGGAAGGGCTTAGGCAGCATATGGCGAATGGAGGCGGCGGTGGAGGAATGAACATGCAGAACATTTTCGAGCAGTATGTTTTTTTCTATTCTTCTCGTATTCTCTGCTTGTTTTAGATATCTGGAGTCCTGACATGGTATTCTTTGCTCTAGATTCTTTGGCGGAGGAGGTCAATCGGAAGAGGAGGAAGAGAGAATCCAAAAGGGTGATGATGTCATTGTTGATTTGGACGCCACATTGGAAGATTTGTACATGGGTGGTTCAATGCAGGTAGGATTAGGCATTCTAATCTATGCTTCTAACCAGCAATGCGAAATGCTAATGAGTTCTATCATTGTAAAGGTGCTAGCTTTTTATAGGCCATGCTTACTAGTCTCTGTTGTTGTACTTAGAAAGGGAACTTCCTTCCTACAGATGTGTTGAGTAAATCAGTTAGCCGCGGCTAGCAAGCAATGGACTCTATTTCTTCATCGGGTGTAGGGTCGTTGATTTGCGTTAGAAATTTCTTTATCTTGTGTAACCATGAAGCAGAAGAAGAATTTTTATGGCTTATGTATCATGCATTTCTCTATATCTTGCTATTTAAGAAGATGATTGGGTAAGTGTGGTGGTTACGTTCTCACCATATTTACTGTGTTTTTCGGTAGGTGTGGAGAGAGAAGAATGTTATCAAGCCAGCCCCAGGGAAAAGACGATGTAACTGCAGAAATGAGGTCTATCATAGACAAATTGGTCCAGGGATGTTCCAGCAAATGACAGAGCAGGTATATGATGGCTGGAGAGTCTGTTGGATTACTTGTTACATTTTCTTACAAGTGATCTAAGCCGCATGCTGCTAATGGAGTTCTGGCAATTGGATGCTTTTTCTTCCTGTAGAATGCTTCAAGTTTCATATGCATCTCTTATTAATTTCTTGCAGGTCTGTGATCAATGCCAAAATATCAAATTTGAGCGGGAAGGGTATTCTCTCACAGTTGATATTGAAAAAGGAATGCAAGATGGACAAGTAAGTTTCAGGATGTAAATAATTTTCCTTACTGGATGTATGGCTGGAGAAGAGTATTTGACCTGCTTTCTTACTTTCAGCAGTTTCCACTACCGATCACCTATTTAGGGAAGTAGTCTAGTTTAACTTTTGAGTTTTTCCCTCTTCGGATCCGTAGAAGTCCCCTGTGTCATCCTTTTCTTTCTCTCTTAGTAAATGCAGTTTAGGAGACTGTTGAACTTTTTGGACTATTTCTTGTCCAGAATGAACTTTCATGCACTATCATTTCCTGGTACACATAGGGCTTGAAGTTGGAGACTTTCTGTAAAACCATCTTGATTCTGTTCCTAGAATGGAGCTGTTTCATATAGTGGGACTCTTGCTAGTTAGGGCTGGAAGATCATAACTTCAATCATGATCCTACTTATATTCTATTTGTATTGGAATTGTGCTACACTTCTTGTGTGTACATACTAGTACATCAGTGGATTTGTAGCATTGGTCCAATTGATTTGGATGTAATGTGTGGATGGATGACTGTTGCAGGAGGTTGTTTTCTATGAAGATGGTGAGCCCAAGATAGATGGGGAACCAGGAGATTTGAAGGTTTGTTTTCTCAACTGTGGTCTTCTTCTCTTTATGCAGCAGCAAAAATTCACCACTGTCCTATCATATTTTATACAGTTCCGCATTCACACATCACCTCATGACGTTTTCACAAGGAAAGGCAACGACTTGCACACCACAGTCACCATCACACTGGTAATTCTGCGACTAACTCAAGAGACGTCGTCTTTTCCTTCCTTTCCCCTCTAAGATCTTTCTATTTAACTGGGGAAAGAATGCCTGAAATGTATCCCACCAGGTTCAAGCCCTCGTTGGCTTCGAGAAGAAGATCAAGCACCTCGATGAGCATCTGGTCGATATAGGCTCACAGGTAAACCACATTATCAACTCCCCCTCTTTTCATTTGAACCCCAAATCCTGGAGTCTGCTAGCACGGAACATTAACTCATTCCCAATATGCTCTCAGGGAATCACTAAGCCAAAAGAAGTAAAGAAGATCAAGGGCGAGGGGATGCCTCTGTACGCAAGCAACAAGAAAGGCGACCTCTATGTGACGTTCGAGGTTCTCTTCCCTAATTCATTGACGCAGGAGCAGAAGACGAAGATCAAGGAAGTTCTCGGCTAAAAGTATCGTTAGGAATTTTATGCCAGTCATTCCGAGGTTCCAAGTTCCAACTATAGTTTTTAACTGTAACATGTCAGATAGAAGAACCTTGAGAGGAGGGAAAGCAAGTTTTGTTTCCTTGATTTGCCGCCTCTGTTCCCTGCCTTCCCCCAATTTTTTCCCCAGTAGTATACCAGAAAGAAAATTGAATTAGCTGTTTTTCCACTCTTGCGTACCAATTCGTATGTACACTTTTAAGAAACCATTAATCGATAAGCACACCAAGCTGCTGCTGAGGTTATTGAGGTGTACTTTGAAATTTGACTGTGTGGAAGATTTATTTTATCAATGCAGTCATAAGTGTATTAGATCATATCTAATTGGAGGAAGATCAAAGTTGTTAATGTTAAGGCAGAAAAAAGGCAAAAATGAGACGCCCACCGTGGGGCTCGAACCCACGACCACAAGGTTAAGAGCCTTGCGCTCTACCAACTGAGCTAGACGGGCTATTGATGTTGGGAAAGCTTTATACTAAAATAGTCCGATCGTACATATCACTAACGGGCTTTTGTTGTTGAGAAAGCTTTATACTAAAAGAGTCCTATCTTACATATCACTTCACCATTTTACCCCAAAAAACAAGTGCTGTTTGATTTTAGTGATGGCATAAGTTCGTTCATAAAGATGCTTAACACTTGTGAACTCTGTCTGTAACTCACTATAGGCTCGGAAAACAAAGAGAAGATGTGTACGAACGCCAATGAGGGTTTCCTATCCAAGGAGTATCAAACCCTTTAAACTTCACACTTATGTTTCTCTTAAAATTTTGTATTACTAAATATTATCTTCACATATTTTATATTAAGAACTAACTTGATTTTCGAAAGTATAAATCAAGTCATTCTCATATTTTTATAGATTCTCTCCACTCATAATGGTTGAAAGAAGGTAACATAGGTCAAGATTCACATCTTATTTTTTAGCCAAACAATTATTTGGTACAAGTAAACACCGAAACTCAAATAGCCTACTTTCACGATAAAAATTTATGAGGAGATTAGTCTTCGTCAACTTTTTGTGGCTTCCTTTGAAGTAATCAAGTTGCATTCAAATGAGATATTTTGTTCATAGTTGTCTACTTTAAATCGACAAAAACTTAAAAAGACCACATCAAAGAATCGAGACACAATACTCCAATTACCCAATGGATAATTGTGCATTATAGTAAACCAAGTAAGAGTTTCACCAATATATTACGTTTACATCACTCTTCTTCTACATCCGACCAACTCCAACTAAACATTGTAACCTATTGCCAGGTTGAGAACTCCCCAGTCCCAAGTTTCAGAATAACTGCCCTTTTCACTCACACTACATTTGTCAACCATCTTCAAGAAAGCCCTCGAAATTCGGATATAGATGCATTCCCTCTTCCTTGTCAAAATCGCAGTGCGTAAGGAAACCTGAAAAGAGGTAACTTAACCCACAAGGCACTTCGGAAACTGCGTTCAGGCGTTTCCCAGAAAGCTGCAGACCTCATGACAGCAACTGAAGGGGGTACCAAAGATGTCACCCAGAAGAACCCCCAAACACCTGAAGAAAACAGAAAGCGGCTATCAATGAGCCTTAGGTAGCAAAATAAATATTACATGGGAATGAATTTTGTTGGGTGGAAGAAAAATGACTTACTCCGGCCAGGACATCCATAGAGATTTTAGATTTCTTCTCCTCTGCTTTCTCAGTCACTGGCTTTTTCTGTGGCATTCGGCGGATTACCCTTGGTGGTTCTTGTGCCTTTTGCTTCTGCAGAACCAATGGGAAGAAAAAGGTATCGTGAGATGGTGATGTAGTGATCAAAGATGGTTTCTTTTTTGATAATTATTTTGATCTTCATATTGCTCCACCTGACCAAACTAGGACAAGGTCTCGAAAAACATACTACTGAAATCAGCAGCTACCAAACAGCACCTACACTAACTCCCTACAGACGCCAGAGCCTACTACAATAGAGATCACTGTCACTGCAACCAACTACCGACACTAGCTTACAAAAAGTAAGTTCATACTTAATCTACATTATAGGTTAAGCCAAAACTAGATCTATCCCCGATGGTTAGTAAAGATTGCACATTTTTTACCTTCTTCAGCCGTTTTTCTATGTTAGTAAGAGCGATTGATTTCTCAACTTTGGAGAGATAGAAATCGCGTTCCCTCTTTGCAGCAGAAAGTTCTAAAGCTAGCTTCTGTTCTCTGACGGCTCTCTTTATAGCTGCATTTCCAACGGGATGTGAGCCAAAGACAAGTAAAAGAACTCAGTTTGCAAAAGGAAGAGGAAATGAGTTTCATACCAATCTCCTCTGTCAGATCATCCCACTTGAATTTACTCAAGTACTTGATGTTCCACGTATCGAAATAGAACTGCGATCTCTTCTTCCCACCTGAAGAGGACAACAAAGGGAGTAAAAATGTGACACTAAATCTTCACATGTAAAATGAAAGATGTAACTATCGATACCATTACTACCATACTGCTCTAACATAACAATATAGAGATAATGAAGACAGCAGATGTATATATTGAATCCCTTACCCATTTGTTCGCCGTTTAACATGTTTGCAACTCTTTTTGCCACAACTTTATCAGTAAATTCCACCCACCTGCAACGTAAAAAAAAAACATAAGAATTTACATCTAAATCACAATCAACATTCCAAATTCAAGAAAATGTGCGAAATAAGAAAAACAATCTAGTTGGAAATCAACAACCCCATCAAGGGATTTATTCAAACTAGAATGCTTAAGATCAAACATACCCTTCTGCGAATGATTGCATCCTATGCTTAGCAGCTTTCTTCTGAAAATGTAGCGGATTTGAGTCTGAAAGCAGATAGGGAAAAGGAAGGATTCAATCCAAAAATTCACCAGAGGTCGAATGCCATTACAGAAACCACAGAACGTAATCAACACAAGCAAAAAAATGAACAGAAAGATCAAAGTGCAGAAAATTCAATCACCTTCTGGTACAAGATAGATCCTCTGGATTTCACCATACTGTGAGAGAGCATGACGGAGCTTTGCAGGATCCATGTGAGGAGGAATTCGGCTCAAATAACAAACTCCACGCCTATCAGCCTTGGCTGTTTCCTCTAACAAACGCTGCTTCTTCTTCTCTCTCTTCATTCTCTCCTTTTTATCACCAACTAACGACTGCTTTCGCTCATTGTTCAGAGATTCCGTAGTATCATCAACGGAATCTGGACCAATACCTCCATCGACATCATTCTCTCCCTCCTCATCCCGTTCAGTTTCTTCTAATAACTGCTGTTTCTTTCTCTTGCTCCCCTTCTTCACCTCTTCCTCACAAGTCTCATCACCACCAACTTCGGTATTCTTCATCATTTTCTTCTTCCCACTTTTCAGCCTTGTTCGGCTCCCTTCAACATCATAGTCTTCTTCGGTGTTGTCACCATTGACATGTTTCTCTACTTCAATCATTCCAACCTCTTGCATCCGCTTCTTCTTGTTGCTTTTCAATCTGTTCGACTTCCCCTCACCCGGACTCATATCTGCACCACCCTTCAAACTCATTCCATTAGCTTCGAGCTCTTCTACCTCCATTCTGGCCAAGAAGAAACTGAGAGTGGCAATCAACAGTTCCACCAAGTCAGAATCCAACACAATGATAGCAAAAGTTAAATCATACCGATGACAGGAAATATCACTAAGCACGCCAAGATACAAATCTTTCACTAAATATAAACGCAGCAGTACTTTGGATGAGTAACAATATTCGGATTCTACGAACTAAGAGCAAGTTTCAGAGTCCTAATTAGTTCTACCACAAGGTTACAACCATTACAAATGATTCAACACAGCACAGAGATAAACCATTCAGCCACAAAGCAAAGACCTTGCATCTTTAAGAGTCTAAGGGAAACGAAATACAGAAGGAAGGGAAGGAAAGCACTGTAGTTTGGATTCCAATTCAAACCCCGGTTCAGAGAATGTCAGAGGCAAATAAATTGAGCTGGCAATCACAGAAAGAATAATAATCTACCTTGTTTCTCTTTCAGGGAGTCACTTCAATCGTTAGCCGGGAAAAACTCGTTCGGCAACCGCCCCCTACGATTTTGCTGAAAGGCGGCGGCGCGTATAAGCACAGACAGCAGCTAAAACCTGGTCGTCCACCGCCGTCGAGATGAGGAGTCTAATGTTCAACAAATAGCAGACAGGGGAGGAGGGAAAGCGATCAAAGGAAGAGTTGCAAGGGCGGCCGAGAACGGCGAACAACTCCGACTGAAACTTTCGGGGGGGCGAAGACGTTTTCGCTCTCGCGCTGGTTATGGCGGAAGCTGAAGGCTTTCCCTTCAAGTGACTCCAGAGTCCAGACCTTGCGAGAAACTGGCCGCGCTTTTGGTGCGCTCTTCTTTTGTTAGTTAATGACTTCTTGGGTCATTTTTCTCGATGGTTTACCAAATTACATCCTTGTATTATGAAATTTTAACAAACAAGTTCTCATATTGCTACTACTTTTATTCATTAGTTACTAACGAGGTTCGTCACATTTGATAAACACATCATCCCAAATCACAAGTTGCACAAGCCAAGAAATTCGTCATTGAGAGAGAATACAAAAGGATCGTACTTGAATTATCCACTCTTCTCCGAATAAACTCAAACGATAAACTAATGCCCTTCTTCAAGCAATCAAAAAGATTCACTCCATTCAGAGTCACCATTGTCAAATGCTTCGTAAGAAACGAGAGATAAAATTCAAGAGTCGAGTTGATGCACAAAACATAAAATTTTGATTCCTAACTGGTATGGAAGAGCATCAATCAACCTTATCATGGAACTCCTACATAAGTTATGTCATGTGGTGTTTCCTCCTTCCAAAAAGGGCTACAAGGAAAAACAGTCCGGTATCTCTGTGAAATTTTCTTTTTAAGTGGAGCCAATAACGAAGACTTTTTATCCACTTGCGTCATGTAAAGAGGGCCTATGCTTGGTTGGCTTCCGTTACTGAAGAGGATTTCTGCTCCATTTCTGGCTCGGCAGTTCTCGGAGGCCTATTCGTCGTAACCGCTGGTCTTGGCCCGAATTTGACAAGCAGATTGTCATAAGTACGAGAAACGAGCAGCAGCCTAGCATCATCTTCAGGTATATCCCGTTTCTGAAAGGGGGGAAAGAACAGTAAGAAGATGAAGCAGCACAGAGGAAAGTAGTTATGCAATGGAAAGATTGATTTGGCAATGCATCATAATACACGAGAGAGAATAGCAAGAGGGAAGACCAACCTTCAAGCCTTTGTAGTATGCTTCCACGGCAGGGAAGGTGGGTATCATGTTACGAGCTTGCATCAAGTCCCATATGTAATTGGCAGTCGTGTACCCACCGGTCTGCAAAAGGAATTCATTTGAAGGTAAGAAACCGATTTATGAGTCGGAATGGTGTAGATAGCGTTGCAATTACCTCTTCACCAGCTGCTACAAGAAGGAGATCGCTTCCGATTTTGGGATTCAAGAAGTAATTCTTCTCGGTCAGTTTTACCTGCATTTTCCAACCAAGCATGGGGTGTGAGTGAAATTCGTAACATCGACAAAAACTAGCAAGCAAGAATAAAGCGATTTATGTACCAGTGTGTCTTGTGCAAGTTGCATTCCCTTGGGAGTATATCCTACCATGGCTCCCTCTATAAGAGTCTACACAATCAAAATCCAGAGAGAAAAAATCAAGGGTTAATGATGCTTGCACCATGACATAGAAGGCTTCCGCAGCGGGAGGATTAAAAATAAGACAGGGAAGACAAAGAAAATATAACTAATAATAATAGGAACATGGATATAAGCAACAAGTTCAGATGCTCTTGCACTGCTATCCAATTCCTACAGTTTCCTATCTTCCCACAAGGAAATCAAAACCGAAGCTTGTCTTCATCGGAATGTCCACACTTTGTTTCTAAATAAGCTATTGAAATTGTCCCAGAAATAGTAAGGAAAAACAGTACATAATAAGAACAATTGAAGATCCATACTAAGGGAGATATGACAAAGCGCTCCTTGTGTTATAGGTACTACATGTATTGAAACTCACCAAATAGAGCTCCATCATATTAGGTTTGCCAGAATTCATGTACTCTTCAAAGATAGCAAGACCACGATCCAGATCGCCACATTGTAGATGGCACCTAGAATTAAAAAAGAAGGAACGTTTTTCGAAAATGAAAAGGAAGGAGCAAACAAGATATTTACATTCAGCTGGTAGACAAACTAAATGAAAGTGCACTTCACTTCAGCTAACCAGTATATGGTTCTAACGTACGAGTTAATATACCTGATTTCCTATAAACAAACTTACCTCATTGTTTGCATTAGAATGAAGACATCAGGAGATTCTTTGTCCTTCTGAAGCATCTCCAACAAAACTTCCGTAGCCTATGAGGACCGAATCGAAAATATCAAGTGAAAGAAGCTCGTGAAAGTTTGGCTTTGGCTTAGTTACTGAAAGAATATTATGGTGTATTTGCAGACGTGGGATATATACCTGTACGTCTTTCAGTTCTGCACAAGCATGGAGTGCAACATGATACACAGTTAGTTTCTTGTTCAAGAACCCTCCACGCCGATGAATGTATTCAGCTGTTGGCAAATTATATAACTCCTCTTCAGATACACCCCTCGCCACATTTTCAGCAGCATAAGTTGCTCCATCAACCGATGACCATCCCTTTGATTGCTCGACTAACTCAATAATCTGCCATTAAGAGGAAAGACATTCAATTAAAATAGTTACAGACATCATAAAGAGAGAGGCAATTGTGGATGACAAAAAATTACTACAACTACCTTGCTGGCTGTATCATCTCCACGAGGTGTCTTGTTAAGATGAGCAGTTATTAGTCCTGCATAGCAGAATTTGTTCAAGCCAGCGCCAGCTGCAGTCATATCACGGACAATTGCATACCTATACCATGTAAAATAAATAGAATTGTGCTTATGAAGTATGAACCTTGATACAAGCTTTTCAACTACTGCTCAGCCCAACAAATTATTGGGACGAGAGTTTACTAATCAAATATCATTTCAACAACTTTGCTAGTGGATTGGCCCATATACAACAAACTGCAGCAAAGAAGCACCAAGTAAATTACTAACCTTACAAACTAAGCATCAGTGAAATGGAGATATCAAACAAATTGGAAAGAGAGATCCTCGTGCTAACATAAGGAAAGAATTACATACACACGATCTAGCCGGCCAGTTGCTGCACAGGCATTGAGTAGACACACAAAGGTTTGTCCATTTGGCTTCACTTCGGATCTCTTCATTTCTTCTAAAATCTTCATCAAAGATATGGGTAAAATGATTCGGAAATGTCAAATACAGCCCAAGCAATGGCTAGTGAGCATAAAAAGGGTACAAGAAGGTTAATAGGCCTTGCTAGAAAACTCACAACAGCATCAACCAACCTGAATTGCTTGGTCAGAGTTCTTGCACTTGCCACACATCGAAATTAAGAAATTGTACACCGCTACCTACAACATAGAAAATCGTAACATCCAATCAGTCAAAGAAATGAAACAATGCCGCGTTCTACTCCAACATATCAGGGTGGGCTAATACAGGTTCACCTAACTAACCATCATGACATTTAGTATCAGTTCAAGCTCCAAACTTCAAGGCAAGTATTATGAAACGATAAACAATGAGATAAGATGATCTAGAGAAGATGTAGAAAACCTACATCGGGAACCAAGCCCATAGCTTTCATTTCATCTCTGAAGTAGAAAGCATCCTGCAAGCGAGCACTTTTCATGGTTCCAACAATCAAAGAATGGAAGACATCTCGACCCGGCTGCACTCCATCCAGCACCATATCATCGTAGACATCTCTCAACAAATAACCCCTTCAGAAAAAAAGGAAATAAATTTCTCACAATGATTCAATTCCCAACAGACTGATTCAGACACGAAAAAATAAGGGGGAGGAGGAGGAGCAAGGGAAAACCTCCGCTGAGAAGTGAGGGAAGCAACGACGGTGTTGTATTCGGAGACATTATTGGCATAATTCCGCTTGGCGTATTCCTCCGTAGAAGCGGCTGCGGCGAAGTACCGGCGGCCCAGAGCTCGGATGACCGCCGGCCGGGCACCTGCGGGGGTACACAACATTGGAGATCAGTACTAGACGGAATGACGGAACGAAAAAACGTAGCTTTTATCGGATTTAGTGCAAGGGTGTACCGAGAATGGAACGAAGGGGGAATTTCATGGATGGAAGAGCGCTGTCAGCTGAGCTCTGAGTAGGGTTCTAGTCGTCGGAGCTAGAAAGTAAAAACCTTTCTCGTTTTCCAGAGAGTGAAAGGACGTGGAACTGGGAACAAAAGTGATAGCCGTATCTACCATCTACAATGTACATCCCCAATGTTTTACGGTAAGTCATTTTAGCCCTCTTAACTTTACTCAACTCTATACTAAGACGCACTAGAATGCGTATATTTCTGTGCTACCATTTCAATTTCAAAATATTTTGCTTGTTGTTAAAAAATGTGTGTGCTTAACCTTACAGTTAAATGGGCCTGAACACTGGACAATTCCAAAATATCTATAAAATTATTAAAGGGCTTTTAGAATTGAGCCCATGCCACGTACTCCGTACTGAAAGCCGAAGGTGTCCACGTCAGACACACTTTCATCCCTTCCGCAACCCTTCTCTTTCTCTATTCCTTCTACGCTGTCCAAATACCCCTTCATAACCATTGCCCAAGTCTGCCGTATGCTTTCCTGCCGCCGCTTCTACTTTCTCTCGGTTAGCGACACTTTCCTTCCCTCCCCAGATCTGCAAACTTCTTCCGTCTACCATTTTGGGTATTTACAACTCAGTTGTTGGAGTATTCCGATTGCATTCTTTGGGACTTGAATCAGTATCTCTCCGCCCACGCGGATAATCGCTTCCTCGAACATTTCGATGTCAATTTTGCATGGCAATTACAGTAACCGACGGTGATTTCATTCCTATCCATGCCCACCAATTTCCCCCAATTTCAAAGACAAGTTTGTGTTCCCAGTCCGTTGCTCTGACCGCTCAGAGGTGCCACTTCTGCTATCCCACAAGCAGGTAATCTTCCATGGCTGTTAATCTAAATTGTGTCGGCGATTCGGAGTTCTTGACCAATTAGAAGCCGCCATTCCTAAAGGTAAATTCTTCTTCTTGCATGATTCCTTACGTTGGGTCGTTTTTCGCTCCATTATACTGGATTTGCCATACTTTGTCCTTTTGCTTTCTGATTTGAAGCCAATAGAATAATGAACTATAACTACCCTGATGCAACCTTTTTAAAATTAGGAGTACAAATCGATCATGACGCATCGTGAAAAGTTGATAGGAGTAAGCAGTTAAAGTAGTATTCCAATGTACTCGACAAACTCCAAAGCATGGGCAAGCACAAGGTAATAACTGTCATGCATCTAAGTTTCTTTATGTATAATTTTGTTTGGAGCCCGATCGATAATGTTGACAATAAAAACTGGAAGTTTCGGATTGGATTTTGATGATGTTGTGTTGACGATTGAAATTGGATGTTTCGATTGGATTTTGATGATGATAGTTGTGTAACTGTGATACCAATGTTGAATCGTGGATAAATTTTGAAATCTTCATGGATAAATACATCACGTTGCTGTGAATTCGTAACAAAGAAATCCAATTATAATGTGTTGCGAAGTCATCAAAATAGCATGTGAACCCAGTGAGCCAAGCCTTTGGTGTTGATTTGTTGAATGTCTTTTGTCAAGTTCGACATTTTTTTTACCGTTGTCCCCTATTTTAAACATGTTGCTTCACTTCGCTTCACTTCACTTCCTTATATGATTGTTTCCTAACCCTGTTTGTCTTTGTTGTTATTTGCTCTTATCCCAACATCCATTTCTCATATTCTTTTAATATCTCTTATGTCGGTTTCTATGGAGGAAGGTTCTTTGATCACTTCATGACAATTAGATCTCGCACCCATGAAGAGACGCTCCTTCATTATGTCGTCTACTATAAGCTAGCATGGATAAAATTAAAATGACAGATATCATGCATATTTCACAGGACAATGACATAGAGGCTGAAGACATGATCAATATGAGCAGCTCCAAACCAAATCTACACTGAGTGAGTGCTCTGACACAACATCACCCTGCCAAAGACGGTGAAAAAGGAACCTGAACTTGCATTCGACCCACCAAACAACAATGTTGTGCTACAAGCCAAGACTACAACACAAATTATATCAACGGAAGCACTAAGTTCCAAAAAGTGCAAGATTAGTTTGGTTCTCATATTCAGATGACCCATGCAATATCATGCTTACTCATAAAGCCCAGACAATGCAGCGTCAAGATCATGAACTTTTCTACAAAAAAACTACATGGAAAATAACAGTCTCTTGAACAATTTTGCCATTGTTCAGTTCTTGCCTTTCCAGATTTGACATACACAAGTAGCCAATTATTTTGCGCACCAAAGAGCTGAACAACAACAACAACAATCAACCCGGCCAAGGGCCGGGCACATATCTAGTATTGTTTAAGAGTTTTGAAGCAAGTTAAATATCAAGATTATGGTAATAAAGTAAGGCAACATCTAAGTGTAATATGCTGAAGCTAGTCAATAGTTAATACATATCAAAGGAAAAATTAAAATCAATTTTTGAACCGTGAGTTTGTTACAATATCGACATATATCAACTTTCGAATTAACTTGATTCCCAATTAGTAATATTAAATATCTAAAATAATATAAGATGGTTTGAATTGAAGATACATATTAGGGTTTTATAGTTTAACATGAACACTGGAGTAGGAGGACTAAACTTATTTTTTTTACCATTAAATTACTCGTTATTCACTAAAGCTTAATATAGTTTTGCTATAAAATCAAATTAACAATTTGGTCATAGTTTCGCTATAAATATTAATATATTTTCTTAAAACCGAATAAATCTTTCACGGTTCTACACTGTTACATTCGACGTTAAAATAATTTACGGTAATTAAAATAGTTAGTGTAGTGTTAACGGTAATCATTTCCAAATTAATACTCATTAATGAATTAGACATTCCTTAACTAACATTGTTTCCAAACCAATGTTGATTGATTGCTCTCACCCTTTGATTAAGGAGTTGAGCAACCCTTTAATAGTAGCAACTTCCAATTTCATTTTCTAAGCATTATTGCCATAACTCATATCCCAAACCTTTTCAACCCAACATGTAAACCATTGTTTTCGTATGTATTACAGGGTTTACTATCATATCTTCAGGGCAATAACCAATCTTTCTCTACAGACAGTCAGTCATACGACGAAACGGTAAACTTCTTTTAACCAGCCAATATCCAAGTCCAACCCAGCTCCACGTTTTGCAAGAATTTGAACCAAACCGTCCTTCCATCTTCCCCATCTCTTCAATCTCCACAAGCCACTCTCCCACTTTCCAGTAAAACAAAAAAAAACAAAAACAAAAATACAAAGGCATTCTCCACTCACTTCACTTCCGTCCATCACCATCACATCCATTTTGAAAAGGTTAAAACATTTTGAAAAACTCCAACTTCCCTGTTTTCCTCACTGTTCTTCCCTCTCTTCTTGTCCACCATTCTCGTCCTCTGATCTCAAAGCTCCACCAAAAGAAAAAGAAAACAAACGAACCGAACGTTACCACTGTCACAACCATGACCATTCCTCAAGTGAAGAAAGAGCAGGTTTTTATCATTCTTTCAACACTACTATGTTATAGGCTCTGCATATATAAAGCTTTGAGCCTGATTCTCCGTTGTTCTGTTGCAGGAGAAGAATGGTAGGCCAGGGAAGGTAAAGGTTTCTTCCTCTAACAAACAGGTGAGAAACACACTCACCTTCTCTTCTCCTCTCCTCGTTCTCTCTTCTCACCACTCTCTGCTCTATTTCGCTTCCGTTTGGTGATTCCTCACTGCCCTTTTGAGATTCTTTTTGGCTGCTCCCAGAAAGCTGTATTTTTCACCATTGAAAGACCAAAGATCATAACTTTGGTGGTTTGTAGTCACAATGAGCTGCCCTGTCCCAACAAAACCAAAGTTCTTGGTGTTTTCCCTGCACGGTCGTCACTGAAATCAGCTGGCTTCTTAGTTAAAAGTTCATGAATCAGCTACTGGGTATTAACACCTTTTGTTTGAAGGAAGTATCACTTTAGTGTTAGAGTGCGAAAGTAGGAAAAGCAAAATGGTTTTTGAAAATGCTTGTTTTGGCTATTTGCTAGACTTTTGGAAGGGTTTGTAGGCTCTCGGTGCGTTGGATGATAGTGAGGTGATGAAGAATAGAGAACACATTCATTCCGTACTTAAATTGGGCGTTCTATTTTCCTTGAGCTCATCAAATTCGAAAGTAATTTACTGTTGAAGCTTATGACAGGAAAGAGGGATTGTTCCAACCAAGTCTGGCTTCAAGAGGGCGACCAGCGAAACTGTGTATGTTAATGGCGAAGTTAAGGATGCTGTAATGAAGAGAGCACAGGAGTTAGAAGCCAGTCTACCAAGAAACTTCCCTGCCATGATAAAGCTTATGCTCCCTTCTCATATCTCGGGTGGGTTTTGGCTGGTAAGTGAGTGCTATCAAAGTTTGACATTTCATTATGCTACAAATCTTGACGTGGGTAAACTGTTAGTGTTGTGGTATATGATCCACGATTGAACCTCTCCCAATAACCCGAGTTATTGGGATCAACTGGTTCATGACATGGTATCAGAGCCTTCTGTGATCGAGAGGTCTTGTGTTCGATTCCCGGTGACCCCCATTTGTTAAGCACGTGGTATTCTTTGTCTTTAGACCTGTGCAAACTTCAAGCCCTTGTGAGTGGCTTTCGTTTGAGGGGGCGTGTTAGTGTTGTGGTATATGATCCACGATTGAACCTCTCCCAATAACTCGAGTTATTGGGATCAACTGGTTCATGACAGACCAATTGGTTTATGACATAAACCTTACAGTGGATTCTTTGCATTGCTCCAGGGTCTTTGCAAAAAGTTTTGCGTCAAGCATTTGGGTGAAAAGGACATGATGATGGACTTGGAAGATGAGGATGGCAAAGTCTTTCCCGTGAATTGTCTAGTCGGAAAGGCAGGACTTAGCGGGGGATGGAGAAAGTTCTCAACCGATCACAAATTGGTCAAAGGAGATGTGGTAGTTTTCCAGCTAGTTAAGGCAAACAAGTTCATGGTAACTTGGTTTGAACTCTTTTGATTAAATTTCTTGGCTTGAAGCTTCAGTTTCTTCCTAGTTAAAGATAAAGAGTTCATCAGATCAGCACATTTTGACTCTCTTTTGCCATTTCTTTAGGTCTACATTGTGAGGGCACGTGATTTCGAGCAAAATGATGTTGCTCTTGGCCTTCTGAAACTGGAGAAGACTAGTTTGGAAGAGAAATCTAGCTTAGAGGAAGTGGAGGGTGCTCTTGACCTTATGGAGCTGGATGGTATTTTGGAAAAGAAATCTGGTAAACTTCTTTTTCCCCAACCCAAGCAAATTACTTGTTGAAGTGGCTGAAATTGGGTAGAAGGAGAATGTGCTGAATTTCTTTCGTACTTGTAGTAAAAGCTCTGATCCTTTTATTTCCTCCAGCTCATGCAAAGGATCTGCGCAGAAGTGGCAAAGCAACTGTCACAAAGACTGTTGATGAGTCTGATATTTCTTCTGATGATAACTATGAACCAGAGGATTCTGAGAATGGAAGTGATGAAGGTTTCGGATTCGATGTCCTAGATGGAATCAGGATGTCTTCAGCATCAGCTGTTGATTTCCAGCAAGTAAAAAGCTTTGATGACTTTGACATTATAGTGAACGGCTTGGTGATCAACTCTGAGCTCTCAAAGCACCTCCAGCTCAAATACTATGAACTATGCAGCAGCCAGAAGTTGTTCCTCCATGAACAAATCCTCAATGGTCTCAACTGTAAGCTGATAGCGGGAGTAATTGCCGAGACCATTAACATTGCTGATGCCATAAGAGCTTCAAAGTTCAACGGTGGGGGTAATGATAACGATCAACAGAAGGAAGACTTTGTGACTTGGGAGAGCACATTGTTAGCTTTTCAGAAGCTGGGAATGAATGTGGAGTTCATACTCACCAGGTTGAGGCAGCTCATGCGGCTCTGTGACAATGCCAATAGGTGTAAGAGGTTGAAGACTGAGAGAGTCGAGGTAGGCAAGGAGGTGAAGGTTCTGGAGGCGAAACTCGAGGAATCGGTTCGAAGAATGAGAAGGATTGATGAAGAGATCGAGAAGTTGGAAATTGACGATGTGGAGGATGTTGAGGTGAACTTCAGAGAATTGGCTAAAGCTCCATGGTCAGTTTGACTTGGTAGTAAGTAGTAAAATAGGTTATTCATTTTGTTGCACAAGAGTTTGGAAAAGGAAGCTCTTGAACATGGTGCATTGATTATTTTGTATGTAATGGCTAATTGATAGTCGAGCCTGGCCCTTCAACAAATGAAGTTGGAGCTAATAGAAGTAAGGTTTTAGTTATCTAAGGAGACTTGTGGTTTTGGTCAGTAGGCTTGCTTTTGAAGATTAGAGTGTGATTAGCAGACATCTGATAATGGTCTAACTATGTTCTACACGTGTAGCAGTATCATTATATGCATTTCATAACATAGAATATGCTCTCTTGTCAAGATCATCTTCCATGGTAACATTTCCATGTTTGAAGACCTAAGAAAGAGAGGCTTTCAACTCTCTAGCTTTGTTTATAGATTAGTCACATGCTCTTGTTCCTTGCAATAAAAGGAAGGATTAGGATCCAGAAGCTCTTTATTTGGGATTGTGACCTGTGAGAGCCCAATCCTGTCCTGAGCTAGCCCAATATGAAAGCCCAGCCCGACTTTTTCATTTATGAAGAAAGCCCAACCCAAAAGCACATGACTGTTTCATTTCTACTTTCTGTTCTATTACTGTTCGTGTTCTATTCTCCTTCCCCTCTGGTTCTGAGCTTCGCTCTGCAACTGGAATTGCTACTGAAGAAAGAAGAAAGAAGAACGAAGAAAGAGAGAATTGCTACTGGCGTTATCAAATTCTACTGCAACTAGGACCATGACCATCCTTCAAGTCAAGGAAGAGCAGGCTGAACCCATTTTCCAAAGACCTTCTCGTTCGGTAAGTTTACTCTCTACTTGCAAAGCTGTAACTTTGAGCTTCACACCCCTCTCTCCTTGTTTGAATCAATCTTGGTGTCTTTTTCTTGCTTCGATTATGCTGCAGGGTGAGAAAAGAAGCATGCAAGAATTCAACGATGGGGTTGCTCTGGTTCTCTCTCTCTCTCTCTCTCTCTCTCTCTCTCTCTCTCTCTCTCTCTCTCTCTCTCTCCATTATTCAGTCTTTGCTTACTGGCCTTCGTTCGGTGGTTCTCATTAGTCATTCCCCTTTCGAGATTTCTTTAGTTCGCTTCAATCAAGTTCTTTAGTGGTTCCTTTGCATGGTCATGACTGACAATCAACTGGTTGTAGTAGGTTTCCAGTCAAATGGTTTTCTTCCTCCTAGGCTAGAAATCCCAAACTTGAGGTGGCCATTCCAAAATTTCCGTGAACGTATCAAATTTGGGGAAATTGACTGTTTCATGCTTATATAACAGAAAGGAAGCTTTGTTCCAATCAAGTCAACTGTAAGGTCAGCCAAAATCTCACAATTTTAATACTCTTAAGCTGCATCACTTCTTCTTTTTAGATGGTCATGAAGATCTTCTGAACTTCATGCCTTGCAGCTCTTACGAGCCTAAGAATGATGTAATGAGAAAAGCACAGGAGATTGTATCTAATCTACCTGCAAACTCTCCTTCATTGATAAAGGTCATGCAGCCTTCACATGTTAATAGAGGAGCTTCTGTGGTAAGCCTATTGAAATTCTACATGTTTTTTTATTACCATCAATGATTTAGGAATTTGGATGCTTGTTAATGTGTACGTTACTGGATTGCTGCTGGGCGCTGGCATGGCAGCGTCTATTGGCAGAGTTTTGCCACAAGCATTTACCTGAGGAGGACTCAATGATCGAGTTGGAGGATGAGAATGGTGAAGTTGACACGACAAAGTATCTAGCCTATAAGAACACTTTCAGTGCGGGATGGGCAGCATTTGCCAGCAAGCATGATTTAGTTGAAGGAGATGTTCTGGTTTTCGTGTTACTTAAGCCAACCAAATTCAAGGTACTATTTAAACTTTAAAGTTTCAGTTCCTTCTGCTTAAGAGTTCAAAGTTTCAAGGAACCACATTTTGACTCTACCATTTCTTAAGGTCTACATTGTGAGGACAAGTAGGTCAGAGGGAGTGGATGGTGCTCTTGATATGGGGAAGAAACCTGGTAAGACTAAAACCCTCTTCCTGGCCCCCAAGCAAGTTATTTATGATGTTTGTTATGGCTTTGGGCAGGAACTAGCTGAAACTGAATAGAAGGAGAATGAGAATGAGGTAAACTTCGTTCGTACTTGTAGTAAAAGCTTGCTCCTTGATTTTCTTCAGTTTACACAAACAATCGGAGTACAAGTGGCAAGTCAGCTTTCAAAACTGTCCACGATTCTGATCTTTCATCCGACGATAACTACGTACTTGATGAGTCGAAGAATGGAAGTGATGAAGATTTTGGATTCGATATCCCGGACGGTATTAGGATGTCATCAGAATCCACTGTTGATTTCCGACAAGTGAAGAGCTTTGCCGACTTTGACATTATAGTGAATGGCTTGGTGATCAACAGTGAGCTCTCTAAGCAGCTCCAGCATAAGTACTATGAACTATGCAGCAGCCAGAAGTTGTTCCTCCATGAACGCATTCTCGATGGCCTCAACTGTAAGCTGATTGTCGGGGTAATCTCCCAGACCATAAATATTGCTGATGCCATAAGGGCTTCAGAACTTGGTACCCAACAGAAGGAAGAGTTTGTGACTTGGGAGAGCACTTTGTCAGCATTTGAGAAGCTGGGGATGAATGTGGAGTTCATACTAACCAGGTTGAGGCGGCTCATGGGTCTTTGTGGAAATGTCAATAGGTTGAAGAGATTGAAGACTGAGAGAGCTGAAGTGGGAGAGAAGGTGAAGGCTCTAGAGGCGCTGCTCGAGAAGTGGGCGAGAAGAACGAAAATGATTGATGAAGAGATCGAAAGGTTGGAGCTAAATGACGTGGTTGATGTTCAGGCGAGGTACAGAGAATTGGCAAAATCTCCATGGTGAACATGACTTGCTGACTTAGGGGTAATTGGTAATTCACTTTGTGCACAAGAATTTTTTTCAATGTGCAGAGCTTTAGAAAAGTAAGCTCTTGAACACGGTGCATCGATTTGTTTGTAATGGCTTGTTACTAGTTGAGCACTTGAGCTGACCGACCCTTCACCTAATGAATTTGGAGCCGCAGAAGCAAAGGTTAGAAACTCTGAATGATGCATATGGTTAGACTGTAGTCAGTGTAGTGTATTCTCTACTACAATATAACCCCATTTAGTCTGTACATACCCCGCACTCTTTCACATCCAAACTAATCAGACTTAGACATTGCCGGTTTTTCAACGATTTACAATAACCGCTGATAATAATGTGATAATTCCGTTACAAACTCGTAATGATTAAACTTCAACGTGAATTATTGTAGTTTTACATCATAAATTTGCTACCATTTGAGGGTCGAAGTAGCAAATCAAATCTTAAACGACAAAATATTGTAAATGAGTAGCAAATACTATGGTTACCTAAATTAAATTTACCACGTCGACTGATGACTGAATAAGACGAGTTGGTAGGGCTGCAAATGAGCCAAGCTACTCGCGAGCAACTCGAGGCTCGAATCGGGAAAAACTCGTTCGAAACTCGATTCGTTTACTGACGAGCCAAGTTTGAGCCTAGCTTTGTTCAGCTCGTGAAGCTCGCGAGCTAGCTCGACTCGGTGGCTTGTTGAGCTCAACTCGTGAGTTGGCTCATTTAGAGCTCGTGATATGTCTCAACATTGTGGTTTGAGGGCCAACTTGATCACTGACTTATGGACTAATCGATCTAATTTGGACTTTCATAATTCATAGGATTGTTAAATTATATATCTCACATCATGTGAAGTTTAACATGTTGAACAAGTAAGAAAATATGCCTTATTTTTAATTCTATAAAGAAATTATGTACAAAATTATTTCGATACTATGAAATAACATAATTTGAACTAGTTAAAATTTATTAACTAAACAATATGACACCTAAAAGTTATAATATAAGATTGATTAATGTTGAACATTTAATTATATTTTTATCGCTACATCAATCACATGTACCATACACGACATACAAAATGAATGTATTAAATACAATCTAAGAATTTTAGTAAACAAGCCTAGCTCGAACTCGACTCGACTCGGCTCGCTAATAAATGACTCGGGCTCGAGCTCAGCTCATTTGTTAACGAGTCAAGCTCAAGCTGGGGTAAAACTCGGCTCAGCTCGGCTCATTTGCAGCCATACGAGTTGGGTATCCAAGAAGTAATTTTCCATATGCTTGTAGCTAGCCAGCCGATATAGAAGCCCAACCCAACGTTCTTCTCGGATAAATTAGCTGAACCAATCTTCACATGACTGCATTTGTTTCTCTTCTACCCTTCTGCTTCTGGTCTATGAGTTTCTATGTGGAAAGACTGCAGCTTGGAATTCCTGCTGCAGCAATCCATTCATCCCCAAAAGAGAAGAAGAAAGAATTGCTAGTGTGGTTAGCATCATGACCGTTCTTCAAGCTAAGAGATATCAGGTCGAACCCAATGCTAAAGACCCCTTTTTTTGTCATTTTACATTCTTGATCTGCTGCATGAGTGAAAGCTTTGAGCTTGACAATTGACGGCTGATCGCCTGCTCTGATTTTGCTGCAGGCGAAGAAGAGAAGGCCACGGGAAGTTTGCGACGGGGCTGTTTCCTGCAGCAATCAGGCGAGAAAACCGACTCCGACTCCGCTTCCGTTCTTTCTCTTTCTTTCAGTCTCTAGTCTACTCTAATGAGCTTTGTTTGGTGGCACTCATTGCCCTTCTGAAGATCTCTTTAGTTTGCTTCAATTGCCCTTTTGAGATTTTTTTCTTTAGCTTGCTTTCATCCAGTTGTTTGGTGGTTCCTTCCTTGCATGATCATTACGGAAATCAAATTGGGTCTGGTGGGTTCTTAGTGAAAAGCTGAATGCATGAGCTATTTACCTTTTTTCTGAACTTCGAAAGAGATGTTTAATGTAGGGGTTGTGGAGAAATAGGAAGGGAAAGGAAAAGGGTTTTGAAACAAAGGAAGAAAGCTTGAATATGTATGTGCTTGGTCTACCTCAGGTGAAGAATTTTGATCTGATCTGGTCGACCCGATTTAGTAATTTGCTTTCATTAGTCATCATTCTTTCGCGATTGTTTATGCATTGTCAAAATGATTCAACCTATTTAGACAGGATTCGAAAGCATGATTATCCCACTTGAACATTGTTCCACAGTAAACTAATTGACTGTCTAACAGTACTTATAACAGGAAGCAAATATAGTCGCAATCAAGTCTCCTGTAAAGTCAGTCAAGAATCAGAAAGATATCTTCAGTTCTATGGGGAAGAGGGCCTCCATGGAGAATCTGTATGTAAGTGGCGAGGTCGACAATGCTGCAATGAGAAAAGCACATGAGTTTGCTTCTAGTTTACCTGGAAACTTTCCTACCTTGATGAAGCTTATGCACCCTTCACATATTGGGTTTTCCTTGGTAAGTCTATCGGGAATTCGATGTGGCGTTTTGTCTTGTCAATGTCTTTTCCGCCCCGGGAGTGTTGGATGCTTGTACCTTTATCTGGATTGCTGCTGTCATGACAGCATCTTGTGGCAGGGTTTTGCTACAAGCATTTGCCTGACAAGGATAAGGTGATCGACCTAGAAGATGACAATGGCAAAGTTTATCCCGCCCAATTCTTAGCTAGTAAGCATTGTCTTAGCGGCGGATGGAGAGCTTTCTCCATCCATCACAAGTTAGCTCAAGGCGATGTTGTGGTTTTTCAGTTACTTGAACCGACCAAGTTCAAGGTGGCTTCTCTTTTTTTCCCTACAGCCTAAAGTTTGCGTGTCTTCTACTTGAAATTAAGGGTAGAATATTTGACTGTTTTGCCATCTCCTTAGGTCTACGTAGTGAGAGCAAGTGCCTCAGAGCAAGCGAGTAGAAGATCCAAGAGAAAGGTCGAGCCAAGTGCCAAAGAAGCCGAGAAGACCAGCATCACCAACTGCAAAATTATAGTACATAAAGACGAGCCCAAGAATGGAAGCAAGGAAGATTTCGGTTTTGATATCTCAGATGGGATAATTATGTCATCAGATCAACCAGCTGTTGATTTCCAGCAAGTGAAGAACTTTGATGACTTTGACATTGTGGTTAACGGCCTAATCATCAACTGTGAACTCTCCAAACAGCTTCAGTACAAGTACTACGAACTATGCAGCAGCCAGAAGTCTTTCCTGCACCAACATATTCCCAATGGGCTTAACTGTAAGCTGATCGCCGGAATAATCGCTGAGACCACTAACATTGCTGATGCAGTAAGGACTGCAAAGTTCGGTACTCGACAGAAGGAAGAGTTTGCAACTTGGGAAAACACATTGTCAGGATTCGAGAAGCTGGGAATGAATGTGGAGTTCTGTTAGAAACACGTTTTCTAAGGAAAACGAGTTTCTATATTATCATTATTATTAGGTTTTATTAAATATAGTTAGTAGTCTTTTAGTAGAATTAGGTTTAGTATTAGGTTTTCTTATCTTTCGTTATAAATATGTACTTTGCGTTTTATTCAGGAGGAGGCAAGATCAATTATTCATAACAGTATCTCAAACCCTAATCTCTCTCAATTTCGTCATCTATCCCTAGGCCGACGGCCATTCTTCTCCTCGATCCCCAATTTCCTCTTCTAAATCCCTAATTCCCAATTCTGTTCTTCCCCAATTCTATCTCAATCCCTAAATATCTATCAATTCCCAATCTTATCATTCAAACGTTAGGACCCTAGAAATAGGTTTCCTACATTTGGTATCAGAGCCCGGTTTCGAGAATTGAGTTCACCACAACTCTCAACCGGGGACGATTTCTACAACTGGTTCGATGATGAGCTCTTCAAAGCTCTCGAACCTGTCGTGGGCAGAATTGCGGGACAGAGCCCGTCGCATCGGCCGCCGTTGGCTGCCCGAAGAGCCGGCGGTCGAGCTGTCTGGCGCCGCCCCAATCGCGCCCCCTCCTTCGTCAGCCGAGACCGCGCCGCGCGCTGGAGGAGGTCGGGCCGAGCAGCAGCGCCCCGCGGTAGTCGAGGCCGCGCCGCGCATGGGAGAGGAGAGGGCCGAGCGGCGCCCCGTGGTGCCCGCCGCAATCGGATGTCGTGGGCTGTCCGAAGGGTCGCGGACCGCGCAAATAGAAGACGGCGGGGAGCTTTCCCACGCACCGCCGGAGAAGGAGTTTCGTCCGGCGGAAGAAAAGAGAGAGACGGAGGAAGAGGGCGGTGGTCCCCTGTTCCTGACCGACGAGCAGGCCAAACAGATGGCGGCACCGCCGGGAGAGGGAGTGCAGGGGGCGGAGAAAGGGAGGACGCGGCTGGCGGAGGGTGACGCAGAAGAGGGAGCCACCTCTCTTCTTGCAAACCCTAGTTTGCCTTCTTTGGGCCAAAGAGCAGAACAGGAGCAGCACTTTCAGTTGGGCCGAGTGGATGGGCTTGTTTTAGGCCAAAGGGATTTGCAGATTGGGCCGCAGCTACAAAATAATTGGGCTAAGAAGGGGCATGGGTGTGTGCTAAAAGGAGACCAACAAAGATGGGCCGAACAAGTAATTCGGTCCGGGCTCAATAATAAAATGAACAGCTGGGTTCGAAGAACAGATGAGTCAAGTCTTCAAGAAAGAGTTGGGCTTCAAATGGGCCCCTTGGTTAGATCACTTTTATATGAAGTGGGCTTCATTCGAGTAGTGGAGCACGATTGGAAGAAAAGAAAGCGCAAGAATGGAGGAGGCAAGACGTGGATTGCACGGTAGACTTGAAGAAATGGGTCAAGCTGATCAACCTTGAGGGCAAGGTTGGTCTCAAGGGGGATGGGATGTTAGAAACACGTTTTCTAAGGAAAACGAGTTTCTATATTATCATTATTATTAGGTTTTATTAAATATAGTTAGTAGTCTTTTAGTAGAATTAGGTTTAGTATTAGGTTTTCTTATCTTTCGTTATAAATATGTACTTTGCGTTTTATTCAGGAGGAGGCAAGATCAATTATTCATAACAGTATCTCAAACCCTAATCTCTCTCAATTTCGTCATCTATCCCTAGGCCGACGGCCATTCTTCTCCTCGATCCCCAATTTCCTCTTCTAAATCCCTAATTCCCAATTCTGTTCTTCCCCAATTCTATCTCAATCCCTAAATATCTATCAATTCCCAATCTTATCATTCAAACGTTAGGACCCTAGAAATAGGTTTCCTACAAGTTCATACTCACCAGGTTGAGGCAGCTCATAGGGCTTTCTGACCATGCCAATAGGTGCAAGAACTTGAAGACTGAGAGAGTTGAAGTGGGAGAGGAGGTGAAGGCGTTGAAGGCGAAACTAGAGAAATCGGTGGGTAGAATGAAGAGGATTGATGAAGAGATAGAGAGATTGGAAAATGAGGAGGATGTTGAGGTGAGGTTCACAAAATTGGCTGAAGCTCCATGGTCAATGTAACTGGATGCTGACTTAGTATCTAGCTTAGAGAGCTACTAAGTTCAAACCATTCTGTATGAGGTTTGTACGACTTAGCTTGGAAAGATATAAAGTCACCATCTCTGTAGCTATGAATGACTTGGACGGTCCAAGTTCTAATACGATCGACCTGATGATCGAAGATGATGATCGAGATCTTCGAGCAGCAAGAGTGATTAACCGAAGGGATTTGTATCAGCTGAATGACCAAATGCATACACGAAACTAAGTTGTAATGTAAGATTCCCTTGAATTCGATTACCTCCTGTGTAAATTACCATCAACTGGAAAACTGCAAGCACGGATGCACATGGATGCCAGAAAACCAGATGGGTCCATATCATCATACCCAGTTGGGCAAATGCATGGTATTTTTCTACAACCCCATGCCTCATTCAGCCATGCAACCTCACATGGAGCATAAAGGAATGGTGACTGGTACAGGACAAGTAAGAAGAATATAGAACTGGCCCATTAACTAGCGCCATTCTTTCTGCCAAATACACTGCATACCCACCAAATATCAACTCCTTATATTTGCCTTAAGAAGTAAAAGTACATAACTTCTTCCTCATGTAATAAATCACAGAACTTTCAAAATCAGTACATTCAGACACCACTGAATTCAGTCAGCCATTTATTTCTACCCAGTCCAATGAAATCAGAAGGATTACAGATGGGGAAAGTCAGAAAAGAAGGTATTTCAAAAGAGGAGAAACATTAGATTAGAAAGTAAATTACACTTGACACAGATAGAAGATTACACCATGTAATGACTACAGACTACTAAAACCGAACCAATTTCAACAAACACCAAAGATGTTCAAATCTCAATCATGATTGAGGAATCCTGGGGCTAAAGTGAAAACCAGGAGGAGTACTATTGTAACTTTTCTGCAAGGACTTCAAAGAAGTGGGATTGATCTGCAGGAAGAGATAGTTCCCAGCAAAGAGATCACCAAAATGAGCATGGCCTTCTTTCAACCTCTTCAGCACTTTCCTGATGGAAGCTCTAACCATCCTCATCACCACTCTCTTCCTCCTAATCAAGCTCGAAACTTTGACCCTGATGAAGCCTGGTGATGATGGTGATCTCCTTCTCCTCCGCCTCCATTGCACCCTTCTGAACCTGAACAAGTTGCTCCTAGCTGTTGGCCTTCCAATGAAACTACCATCAAAATGGCCAATACTTCCTCCATCTTGTGACTCTTCACCACCGTAGTCCAGCTTCTGGTAGCTGGAGAGCCTCCTGGGGAAGAAAGACTCCATGGTTTTTTAGAGGGAAGTTGATCAATGGAAAGGAGAGGAGTTGAGAGAGAGGTTATATGGAAGGAGAGACAGGTGTTGGGTGGTTTCTGGTGTTATGGTAGCTGGCTCAAGATGTAGCTACATGCCTAATGTGATTGCTTTGGCCTTTTTGGATTGGATTCATAATGAATTTTTGGGTCAGTTGGGGTTGGGTTTGGTGATTAACAAGCAGTTGAGAGAGAAAGGGAGGAAGAGCATTTAATGGTGATGGTGGTGAAGAATAAGATGGTGGGTGGCCTTTCTTGGTCCTCGTGGTGGGGGATTCTTTTGGTTGGTTACAACTTCACAATAATGACACACGAAGAGCTAAGTTTCACAGCTCTTCAAGCAGCTTTACTGCTACATCTCTCATTCATAGCTCTAGTCCCTTAGTAGTCCAATTTCCAAGCCAACCGATGCTAGATTAGTTTAGACACAACCGAGTAGCACGTTTGTGATGTATAGGCAACTCCATCACCCTCAAGTATGTTAACTCATGAAAAACTAGGAGGAAGGGAGCACTATAGACCAAAATGTCACCATTTTAAGAATAAACATGCAAATTTTTTTTTTTTTTTTATAATGGTGCAAATTTCCTTTTTCTTTTATAATAAGGATTTTGTTATAAAAAAAAGTATAAGAATATACATGCGCCTAGTTATATTTATGATAAAAAACACTTTGTTGATAAAAAGGAAAATCTATACTGCTATAATCTCGACGCATCATGACCAGTGCTTCTAGTAAGTCAAGAGGTCAACGTACACACCTAAAATAATCTGACCACTGATTCTAGTAAATGACATTCTCCATCTTCACACAAACACAATTACTCGCTTAAAATCAAAGTTGATAAACCCAGAATTGCATCATCTATCACTGCATGTACATGTGTAGAAAGAAAGCACAATTCCAGTCCTAGTCTACCCTAACTACACATGGAATATGGCATGGGATAATTATTGATACTAGTATCAATACCCCCAGTTAGGCAGTTACGCCGCAGGAACATAGTATATTTAAAAACAATATAATAATAAGAGAAATAGACTTTAGACATAAAATCAATCCACACCCACATTGTCGTAGTAAAATTTCAGCTATCTTTAGTTGTAAAGGATAGCAACATTCAACGCGTGTACAAAGAATTGTAGTAGTGAAAAAAATATGGGGACAAAACTCACTGAAGTACTCTGCCCAAAAAGATATGTTACTGACAATGGAAGTAAACACTTAATTGATAAGGATACCTAAGCAAACTCATAATAAGATTGAGCCTGCTAGTTTCGACACCACTCTGAATTCTCGAGCAGAACCCACATAGAGACAGACATAAAATCCATGTGCTATAGAATCTCCAAAGGAAGGCTATGTAAGAAGCTAAATCCAAATACGGAAGAGAATAGATCCGACTCTAGGCCATAATGGTCATTGGAATGTACTGTTAATCTGTTACTATTAGATTTTTCTCGCCAACTGATAGGACCAAGGACACTAAGCAAATACTGGAGAGAAGATGGCCGACTCTAGAACATAATGGCTCTTGAAAGGTACTAAAATGTAGTTATCTTTTGTAGCCAACTCATGAGTAATGAGACCAAGGTCATTGAACAAATAATGTTTCTTTGAGCGCAATTAGTTAATACTTTCATTGGACCGACATTATTTGAGTTTTACCTTGAAAAGTAATCACATTTTGAAGTTAGAAACCCATTTTCGGTCACTCGTTATCGGTTACTCTTCAATCTCAAATAATATTGACCAATATCCATTTAGCATTCTCGTCCAGTTCAATACAACCTAAAATCACAGAGTCGATAAACACTTACCAAGCAAATAACATAAATTCTAATATCACCTTTGACATACATGCTCCATCACTTGGTGATTTTCCAAAACCAAATAGGCAAACCTGAAACCAAAATCTTATTACTCTCCGTAGTTTATGTGTCCTTCAGTTCATATGATGCATAAACTATTTTATAGGATTTGAAATCCAAGGACCATGAGAATCTAACGTTGGGTTTGATTTTTTTTTTTTTGTCATATAACCCAAAATTAGAGTACTAATTGAAGTTAGGATTATTTTCCTGCCTCTTTCAACATTTCGACTGCATTTAAGTATAATCCTTAATGACAACATTTCTCTAATACAAATTGACCATACTGGACCACTATAAAGTGACTTTCATTGATCTGCAGCTAAGTAATCAACTCAAAAGACTCCATGAGTATAGCTAAATGTATTTAACATCTTTCAGCAAAACTGTCAATGTCACTTGCAAGTTGCAACTTTCTGCTTGAGCAAGAACTGTCCAAACTCCCAGTCGAAGCTGCTAGATATGAATTGGATGATGTAAAGTCCTGTTGCATTTCCTTCCTCTTCAAAATATATCGAATTTCCCAACATTGGGTGGACTTGACTCCTTATATGGAAGCATGGAGCAGAAGTTATCACTTGCTTTGGTGGCTAAAATTTTTGAGGAAGTTCAATCATCAAATGAGTGTCACAGTTGACTCGTGACTGTACTAACCTTTCCCATAACAACGATACAACAATGAAGTTGATTATCTTTTCTGAAGTAACTGGAAGGCCTGCTCCGCATATGAAAACTCAAAGATGAAGCAACGAAACTTAATCTGCTCCATAAGCATCACTCCAAAGGATAATGCACCGAATTTGTCAGAGAGCTTTCACTTGAAGCATACTCGAGAGCCAAGTATCTACATAAAAACAAAGCAAATGCATGAACAAATTGAGTTCAGAAGAGTTTACTATAATATTCTCCACTTCAAAAAAGAAAAACTTCTTAGAACATTACCCGAAAGTTCCCATCACCCTGCTTGCGTAAAGTACATTGGCTTTGAGCTTGAATCCAAGAGTACGTTGGCTGCCTGAGTATCATGATGAATGAAGCACATGTTTCTCGCAAATGATGACTGAAACCAATCAATTAATAGACTATATGTGGAGAAGCACCAACCACAATCAAGTGACATATAGTGCACCAAATACAGAGACGATGAAGTTTATAAAGAAAATGAAAGCGCATGGACTGTACCAATACTGTTGTTGCTTATTTTCAATGTCCAAGAGGTTTCTCTTCACCAATACTTTTGTTTCTCATTTTTAATGGTCAAGAGATCCGCTCACACTATGCCACCACTTTTGATTTCAACACCTGGGTTCTTGTCTTCAACCCATTTAGTTGAACCTATCTGCATGTTTAGAGTAGTAGGTTATGCTTTTCCTTCAGCATATGCCACATTCACACACATAACCAAGATAGAATGAAAAAAACAAAACAAAACAAAAAAAGAGTAGAGACCATGCCACGCCTAGGTTCTTGTCTTCAACCCATTTAGTTGATCTTACCTGCATGTTTAGAGCAGTAGGTT